CCTCTTGATCTGCAGCCAAATGCTCTACCACTCAGCTATACCCCCCAACTTAGTATGAATGGACGTGCAATTTGTAACTCACTTACAAAAGAAAATGAATGGTTTGGATCAGCATGCGGTCTGAGGGCCGTTTCCTGAATGCAGAGTGACTCTCAGGTGCGTTACTTTGTGCCACAGACCTTTACTAAAATGCCAGAGATTTGCAGCACTGGGCATTCGACAATAATTCATTTTGAATGGTGCCAGTGGCCATTTGGCTTTCAGCATTTACCTGCAGAGAAAAGAGGAAGGAAATATATACATGGATATATATATGCATAGCTGCGTGTCAACCCTTTTTTAAATAAAACAAACCCTTTTTCAGATAAAAAAAAAGGTTGAATATGCATTTAGGTCATTTTTAGAAATAGTGGCTTCATGTCAAAGCCTTGTTACTATGAGTGGTTTGATCTTTACCGGCCAACACTGCCGTCACAAATCAGTATGGGTGTTTCGTGAGTATGGGGCTGGGCTTGGCGGTGGTGTGAGGGCCTTTTCCTGGCTCTGACCATGCCTCATCGAGAGCCCACGGGGTGCCCTGGATACCATCTCGCCTCGAGTCCGCGTCTGTGATTTTGATTTAAATCCATTTAATTCACGTAGCAGCCGGTCCATGTGAGCGAGCAGGAGAGAGGGCTGGAGGAGAGCGATAAGGCCGGCGGCACAAAGGCGGCCCTGTTGACGGGTGATGACAGCGGCGAGAAAAAGGACATGAAATTTTCTATCAGATGGTTCAAATGATGTCCTTACAGGCTTTAGTTTTGTTGCGTTTTAAGCTGCCTCAACTATATTACGCTTCTTTTGGGAATATGCATGTGTAGCTTGGCAAGTATTTCATCAGATTTCTTTATATATTTCAGTGTAGCTTTTGTCTTTTGATACAGTTTCTTACTTGGATTCCTCTGAAGAGTTGGAGCTTTTCTGATGAGAATAGCTTTTATCCAGATACAAGTTTGTGCTAGAGACAAGGTTCTAGCAATTGAAACATGCAAATAAAATTTTAATAGGAGGTAATGCAGCTGAGGAGCCTCGTCCCTACTATGAAACACAGTGGAGGTCACATCATGGTTTGGTTAGCTGTTGTTGAACATAGCTGAGGGCGTCTTTCAAAAGAGGAAAGCAACTACATGATCGCCACACCATTTCCCCTCATGATCTCTATCAGCTAAATGAATTATAAATTAATTCATGATGAAATGGGCCAGGCAGAGACAACAGAAATATTAAGGCTAGGATAGACAATAAAAAAAAAAGTGGAATGACTGGCTTGGATGCGAGACAAGCCCCAAGCAATGCTTTTTATGTCATTTTTTGATGGAAGGGTTTGCTACCCAAAGTTGAGTTTAAATAATCCCACTTTCTTTTTTTTTTGTTCATTTTTCACCTAGAAAAAACTGAAAATAATGAGCATTTCTGTTTTCTGTATTCAATAATTGCTCCCATCTTTCAATATTATTTAATAAATTATACCCAAGGTTTATGTCAGTGAGTTCAAAAAACCCCTGGGCATTAAAGATGGCTTTTCAGCTTCCATTTTAGACAAAGCATTTGAGACGTTAGGCAAGAGAAGCAAAGGAAATGTCAGCGGGTCAAGAGACTAGCAGTCATCTCTTTCAAAGGCTATTGCACGTCCCAGCTAAACCAGTGGGCTGATGGAGATTCACTTCCTCACTCTGACTGTGCCCGAGGTATAGCTCACATTCAGCTTCCTGATGTTGGTGGCTTTGTTCCGTTTACAACACATTCTCGTGTCCTTGTACAGCCTGAAATGCACCTTTGATGTTCCTGGAAACAGCCTCGGTATCAGTTAAACCTCCTACAACACACACAGCGATTTACAGAGGATGTTTGTTTTTCGTGGCTTTTACAAATGGTATCTACATTCACAGGGACTGAATCATCAATGTACCCCCCCTACTGCCCCCTACTCCAGTAATCTCTACAAATCCCACCATTTGTTTGAGGAATTTCCTAAACTTGGTATTTCTCCCGTACCGAACTGTTTAGTTTATGTGGCAGTTATCAGCCGGACTAAAATGGACATTTTTATCTTCCTTTCAGACTTTCAGCTCTTTACATTTCATATTATTTCAGCCATAAATTACCCCCCTCTTCCCCCCTGTTTTTCAGGAATCCCATAATGTCGATAACTTTGCCTGTCAGCAGGTTACTTATCGGTCATAAAAGCCTATCGTTTCGTGCCCTGAATTCTCCTAATACTCCATTGTGTTTTTGTTTTTTTATTCCGCTGCCTGTATTCTCTATAATGTTGGCAACCATCCATTTTTCAAGATGCACAAATCTTGTAAACTTTATCTTGCATATATGTTTGCTTCATAGCTGTTAAAAAAGTCATGGAAGTTGGACACTTTGTTTAAAATTTACAGCAAATACAAACTGAACAATCCAAGTGAAACGTCGGAGCTTGATGTTCCAAGGATCAGAAATGGGGCCGCGGTGCCTATATTGATTAAAATTCTTTAGCCGGGGAGCGCATACCTTTCCCCACAGAACTGTGGCTTTGGCAAGGCCGCACAGAACAAAACCACACGTCACGCTGTGACTGACGACTGCAACTGAAACTTTTGACGTCAGCCAATATAAGCCTGCTCATTCCAAACAGGATCTCAGTGCCCCATTCCCTCCCATTGTCTTACTCTTTTCTTTCCTTTTTTTTGCTTCACTGCAGGAATCGATTATCCTTTTGCTGTAACCAGCAAACTGAAAACTCAAGACTTTTTCTTTTTTAGTGGTGATGTTGAAATGAGCCAGAAAATCATATCTAGACGTTTTACAGCCAATGTCTAAGTTCTCCATCTACTATTTATTGTATCATAAACAAAATGCTTAATTGATCATGCTTAAAAGTTTTAAAGAGTAAAAAGATTAAACTGTCTCTTTTTTTTAATCTGTATGTCCTTGTTAATGGATAAACCTACCAACACAACAAGATTATCATGATGTCTCAAGCGTTCTGTTTTCGGCTGTCCAAAACTAAAATTTTCCCATTTACAGCATTCATAAATGTTCCAATTGCTAAGACTTCTCAAAATTTGAAGGTTATTTAATGAAAATCCTAATTAGTCAGAGCCCCCACTCAAAAAAGTCCCCCTGTTTCTCAGCTAAACTAGTTTCTCAGCCGTGTGAGTCATCTCCCACTGAACAAGCTCGCCCCACAACCAGGAGCCTGGTGCCGTTTTGTCCCTTGAAAAAGAATAGGGTGCTATTTGAGCATTTTTTCGCTCCATGTGCAACAAATGATGGATGGTCTGACATTTCGTGGGGTATGGTTGTTGGCGTGTTTCACAAAGATATGCGGCTTTATAGTGTGCATGAATGCTCGGGAGCAGCACGAGAACACTGTGACAGGACATTACGGCTGGAAAACAGAGAGGATGCATTCTCACTGGATAATAAAACGCTCTCCCCCTCCCTGACCTTTTTAACATGGACGCTGCGGCACCATTCATTGCGGTGGCATTCATTTCTCCCAGAGCCATGCACAAGTCAAAAGCACGTGTCTCTGCAATACTTTCTTCCAAACACGCCTCTCTTCACTCTCTTCTGGTCAAATACTCCCTCTTGAGATAATTGTCAGGGCTTTCTTGCATTGACCTTCTGCACAGAAACCTTACATAGAAATACTCTAAGGTGCAGTTTTTAGATAAAAAAAATAAATGAATGTTTCAAAAATGAGTTGAAAAACAGAACATCCGTCAGAATATAGATTGGGCAGAAACAAGTAAAAGGATAAAACAAAAAAAGATTTCAGTTAGCAAAGTTGAATGCATCATTTGGTATCTTTTAAGTAAATTTACAGGAGGTAGCCTACTCATCATTGCTTTGGAAGAGCATTCTTTCTTGTTGGTGGCTATAAGAGGCAATTGGAGGCTGTACTTTTGGGTCACAGGGTTGAAACATTTACAAGATGCACAGATATATTTGTTTTAATACTCCATTACCCTGGTTTGGGTAGTTACACTGATCTGAATTTCTCCTTGTGAAATGTTTTTATTTTTAATATCGAACATTTTTAAGAGGAAGACGCATTCATGGCAGGCGGTGGATTCTTCACCCTTACAGGAGCTCACAGGGATCAAAATTAGTTATTGGCAACGGGGAGAGCAGGAAAGCAATAAATTACCAGGCAGTAATTTTCCCTCGCAAATTTACAGCTTGACCTCAAGGGGCATTTACAGCTCAAACACGACCCTTCTCACTTTGCCAACTAAAGGTTATTGTAAATTACGCTGCTCCTCCTCTCCAGACGAATGCACTCTTTTCTCTCCCGACGGCTGTCTGGCTCGCCGTGATTCATCTGAAAGAATCTTCTCCCATGTACAAGTGGACGTTTTCATTTGGCTGTTTTTGCTGCGGTGCCATTCAATATCAGAGAGCTCTGCAACCAGTTGGACCCCGTAAGGGTGGAGGATGACAACAAAGCCACTCAGGCTCTCCATTTCCACTTTCCTCTCTATTTATTCTGTCTATCGTCTCTACTACTTCTTCTTTTTTTTGCCAAAAAGAAATCCCACAGGCAGTTGCAGTGAATGAAAACAATAGATTATTTGACTGAGATATTGCAGTGGTTGCCTTTAATTACCATCTGGCTTTTTAAAAGTTAATGGTCACTAACTCTTACTCTGTTGAAAGGTACTTTGCATATCTCGACATCCTCTGAGAGGTAATGTTGGATTCTATTTGTGTTCTTTTGAGGTCACGTAAAAAGTAATCTTTTTTAATTATTTTTTCTTGTGTCTATAAAGGATACTAAGAAAACGAATGCTTGATGCTTTGACCTAACCCCCCAGCTTCTCTACGTTTACACTAAATTCTTAGTGTAGGAGGAGTTTGAGAAGTGGCGGCCTGCTTCTGTTTGGAGAATAAAACTCACAAACGCCTGAATTTGAGTGTTTTTATTAGGCTTTCTGGTTGCTCTTCCAGAGGTGCAGTGAGAGTGAATGACACCAGTCGTGTCAGTGGAGTTGCTGGACCCTGTCGGGGTTATTTTGACAGGGACAGAGATGAAAGGCCGACACACCACTCCTGAGGAGAGCCCACTGGCAGTGGCGTGCCGGGTGCCGTTGCAGCTCGTGTCTGCTACCTTCAGCTCACCGGCGTGTCGCCACGAAGAGGCGGCAGTGCTCACTCAGCACAGATAGCCTTCTTGAATATTTAAAGCTTGGGAATAAGCCTGCCGCTGAACTTTATCTCCAGCACTGTCTGTTCCTCAAGGTCTCTGTGGCTCCGGAGTGTCCGATGTAGAGTCTCTGCGAAGACCAGTCTTTATCAGTGAGACGGGGAAGAGTTAGGCTGCTAGCGGTGCACTAGTAAAAAAAAAGAGATACACACTGCATTTATTGGAATGACAACATCAGAAAGACCTTTACAGGGTGCTCCTTTAGTAGTTTAAAAACCTTCCATTCTGAAATCTTTTCTTCAGAACAAAATCTAAATTTGCATCACACATTTATGCTGGAGAGTATAATTAAACTATTAGTCCACCACTGTCTCTTCCCGCTTTTTATTTGCCGGAAAAAGACATGCACCCATCTTGAGATGAAAAGGGAAAGCACTTCTTGTTGTGATGATGTTAACCTTATTGTGGGTGTTTTTTTTATTTTTTTATTTTCATTTTACATGCTGTTTTACCAGATTTAGGCACCTGTTGGATTTCTGCAACTCTGTTTTGAACCTATGTTCAGTGTTAGTATCAGACTACCTAAATGGCATGTCATATATGTAAGAGTTTAAGTTTCATTTAGATGAACGTGCCGATGGTAGATGAGTCCATGTGTACTGGATTTACAGCTCACTTTAAAAGCTGAAGTTCATGGTTTGCATCTGTATCGATTTAACAATTTGAAAGCCCCAAATGAGGCTCAAACCTTGTGGCGTGGATCCCCCTGTTGACCTAAGCTACCACCAACGCCCCCTGATCAGTGTGGTCTTCACTGACCGTTTAAATTATGCTGCTGTGTCCTGCGGTTTACCGAACTAATGCAAAATGTCGAAAATGTAGGTTAATCTATATCTCAACATAATGGCAACATTTTATTGATGTTCAGTTTACCATCAAGGCCACTGGACTTTATGTTACACAGAGAAAAAAAGACAGATGCACAAGTCCATCACTCCTCATCTCTTTTGACTTGTGAAACGATAATGAAGTTGAAGCTTTTCATTTACATGAAGGGAATGTGTTAGTTTCAGGATGTGAATCTAATGTGATCAGATTGACATTTAGTCCTCTTTAGCACACCATCTCTCTTCAGCATGGTTAGACTTGTGTTAACTGCGAGAAATGCAATGTTGGGATTGATAGCAGCAGGCTCATCTCATTGTTTATTTATAAAGGCACTGTGTCCTGTCCTTCCATGAGTCTTGGACTGTAAATATGCCTCTGTTAAATATTAAAGGCCTGCTGTGGAGCTTTCTGATACTCATTTAATATTTGAGAGCACCGATATTACATTGATGCCTCAGGTTGTCATAATGGCTCATAATGGTAGTTTCTAAAATAATTTTAGCTCTCCAAATCTGAGCCCCAACGTTTGGGAAAAAAAGGAAAAAGAAAAACAGAGCTCCTTTTACAGCTTGAGAGCTTGTGCTCACAAGAGCTGTCACAATCTGTCTTCTTCGGGAGGCCGTAAAGGTTATACTCAGACTTCTTTGCGACTTATCTCCGGTTCATTGTAGCCTTTAGAGAATTTTCTGTCTGCGTCAGGGAGCATTTCCTCGACACCTATTTCTGCCCACATTTCTGGGACTCTAATGCAGGAGACAGCAGTATCGTCATCACACGGATGAGCCGCTCCCCGCGTCTCGGCCGGTGAATCAGCACGCCATCCATCACGGCGCCACCTCTCCGGTTCTCCTGAGGGCGACGCTCAGTTGGCAGGGTTTGTTTTTAGCCTGGAAGCACACCTGTATTTAAAAATGATTGGGGGGGGGGGTGGATCATCTGCAGCAATTTAGGCCACCCACTTGGGGAGGAAGCCTTCTCCACTGATGCATTTAGAGTTCACCTGGCAGACACAAACTCACACACACACACACACACACACACACACACACATTCATTCTGCCACTTACAGTTTACCTGACACGCTGCGGAGTTAGCACTTTGCTCAGGTAATGAGAAGTGGGGAAGAGAGAATGGAGGGTAGTGGTCCAGTGGGTCATGGGTAAAATAGTGCTGGAGAGGCTTTGAGGAAAACCACAGACTAAGTGGAATGTGATCCTTAAGAGCTTTTGGAAGATAAACGGGCAACGCCTCACCAACGCTGGCCACTTCTGAAACAACCTCGGGTACCAAAAGCCGCAGAGGCTGTGTGCTATTGCGGAGCTTGGCTTTCAGATTTTTCTCTCATCTAAAGCCACATGTGCCGTCGTTAGCCTACTCTGCTGCCGCTCCCAGCTGGGCAGCAGTTGACTTCATCCCGGAATGTCAGGATTACTCTCATCACTTCCCTTGAGTGACTCCTCCGATGTCGCCAGGGTCCAGGCAGCGTCTGCGTGAGAGCGCGTGCCCTGTGAGACCACAATAGAGGTGGAAGCCTATTGAAGGTCCTCTGGCACGCAAGCCCCAGCATGTGCATCTTCGCCTTTTATTTATACGCCTGGACTCGGTTTCCCGCTGTACTGCCGCTCACCTAAAAGTACCTCCAGTGCGATGCAATCGGATATTTGTTTCTTATTTTTGCCATGCCTCCCCATTTTCTTGTTATTTATGAGAGTGGTGCCTGTGGGCAGTGTGTCCTGGGAATAAAGATTCTCCAGGTTGTGTTTTCCTTTAGACAGAGCAAAATGGAATGGAAATAAGATTCCATTTGCTGCATTTTCTGGGCCGTGAATAATTCAGTGTGCCTGAAACATACAGTAAGAAACTCTGGTTAAGCGTTTCTTTTAATGCTCCTGCTCGATTGTAATGTATGACCCCGATGTCTATGTTCCCAGATATCTTCCCACTAACTCTTGGATACTGCGTATATGTACTTTAGATCTGTAAACAACTGGTTTAGGACTTTTTGCTTTATGCTTTAAAATAGCTGCAAAATTCAGATAAAAAAAAAATGTTTATAGCATGCATCAACTGGTTTTAGTTGTTGTTATCCCCCTCTGGCCTGGATTTATATGTAAATTTAATTTAATTCAACGTTAATATCAAATTTTAGAGAATAAGTGTTTCTAAATAAGCCCCCACAGACAGTTTAACAAGAGGTAAAAGTCATGTGTATAATCTAATGTTTGCATTAGTGAGGGTCTCTCTCATAGCTGTAAAGAATATTTCATGACTTTAACTCTTTAGTGATGTCTACGAGACAAAAGAGGGTGTGAAATGTTGTTTCAATGGAGCCTGTAATCTGTCAAGCGTCCTGACAGTGTGGCCTTTGGGAGGAGGCAGTCCTAGAAACATTTCCTCAACCCTGGGGGTCATGGCGTTTTCTTTAACTCTGCTCCTAGAGGAAGGTTCGCCCTGAGACGGCTGGTTTAGTGATGAGCCGCTGGAGTCTGTTGCCGAGGAAGCTGTTGCTTTTGGAGCACCAGCAGAGGATTTCTGGGGCCAGACAAACATTAAAGCAAATTGTGAATATTTTATTTTATTTTTTTCTTAAGAGGACATCACTTTGATTAGCTGCGCTCCTGTGGCAGCTTCTTGTTTTGTTCACTCACTGCTGCACACATTTACAAATATGATAAAATGCAAAAAGTGGATAAAATGCTGTGTAACCACACCAGGGATTAATTACAATTGAATCCCATGATAGCTTAGAATAGAGTCACCTTTGGGAACTTTGGGATTTTCTCTGATATAAAATGATGATGATTTTTCTTTTTTCTTTTTTTTTAAAGTGTCAAGTGTCTTAGATATCCCTCCTCCCTTTTTGTTGGCATATTGTAGGTCAGATCTCTATAGAGATGACTTTGTTACCACGCCAACACTTTTTCCCCCCTATCTCCAGTTGCTATAGTAACAGCTAAATCCTAGTTGACCTTAGCTTTCTCTAAAGATAAACTAGTCATTAACTGAGCAGGCAGTTACTGTATTTACAGAAGATGTTGAATATTTTCTTGATAGTTTAACTTCTTCTAGTTTACGTTTTTACTTTTGCAGACCAAAGTAAGACTTCTGGATTTTTTTTCTTAGTCATTATTGATGAAAGCTGTCTTAAAAGGCGAGATCGTGGCCTTTTGTGGCCTGTGCCATTCTAGAAGTGCTGCAACCTAATCATGAAAGGATTCATTCTAATCATTTGATTTTAATAGGTAGATTGTAAGAAAGTTCAATCGGGTAATTTTTTTCCCCCCTTGAATTCATATCTGTTATATAGTTATATAGTGCCGGTTTGCGGAATGCCACTGGAGAGTAGCATGACAGCATATTTTTGTTTTAAGAAATATTATTGATAATTTATCTCAAGATGAATGCTCCATGTTAAATTCCTGATTCATTCCAGGCAGGAATCGCACATGAAAATAACAATTTCAAAAACTGTAGTCTCTCAAAATGATGTAATTCTCCATTTAGTCTGTTCCGCTGTATATTAATTTTTGACGAATTAACATACAAGCCTGCGGAATATATGACAACTTTGTCGTTGTAATCTTAATAGAGCGGGTCATATTAACATTTCTGGGTACTTCTTCTTTTCACTGTGAGAATTTCATAGCATTTATTGATCTTGTGGTGCAGAGAGGGCAAGATCTTACAAAAGAACTTGAAATACAGCTTACACGTACGACTGTAAATCTACTTTTTGATCACAGATTCACTTGATTCTTTGTGGTTCTTTGGGAAATTTCATGCTGACCTCAAAAGAGGATTTGTGGCTCCATAAGGTCTATGAGGATTTGTTGCAGCACAGTCAGTATAAGACATAATATTGCTGCACCTCCCTACAGTCTGTCTGCTACACTGAGTTATTGTCCATGACTCCTGAAGGAAAGATTCTACCCAGATTCTGAATCACAGTGGGACTAAAATGGATTTAATTTCCATGTTCCATGTTTGCTTGTTTTGTTTCTGTGTACTATGCATTAGTCACTTCATTGCACGCATTTCAATAACTCCCGACTAACTTATTATAAATATTACAGTTTTCAATCTTTGCCTCTCCTCTCCTGCAGAAAAAGGCAGAGTTTGGGGGGAGACGGAACAAAGCAGTTGATGAGAAGTTACTAAACTGTAATAATTCACAGATAGCTGCACAGAGGCTATGTTCCGAAGCAGATGAGCCTTTTACACAGCTCTGCGTTACATGATGGGAGAGGGCTGCATCAAGTTTGTGTGTAGCACAGATGTCCTAACAGAAAGCAGAAAAGACGGGAAAAAACACAGCTCTCCCGTTTGCTGTCTACATACCCCCCACCCACCCACCCAGCCTGCAAAATGAGGAAAGAAAGAGTTCAAACGAAGGCAAAGTGTGGGGAATGTCTTTGGACAAATGCTTCTTTACACACTGGTATTGGGCCATTAGACACAGTTAATCTTACATGAGTTTATAAACTTATTTATTTTTTAATAACCTGCACTGTTTACATTATAAAATTTTTAAGATTTAACTTTCTGTGAACTGGGAAGTGACTGAGGACATGCTGTGGTTCTCGGGTGGCTTGGGGTAGCCTCTGTTTGCCCCCTGGAATGCCTGGAGGGGGTGTCCGGGGAACCACGTCTGGTCTTCTCTGCCTCAGTACGCCGACTCTGGCCGAGAAGAGCCGCAGAAAATAAATGCAACTCTCAGAAGACTCAGAGTCAGTGGAGGTTTTGACTCAAAAGCTTGTTTTAGAATCGCAGTGGCTTGGGTTGCAAAAACTGAAAGACATTCTTATTAGAATGCAAGATTTATCCATAAGCCCATAGGCTCCTCTGCACAGCGATTGGCTGGATAATCTATTTCCCATATTCTTATTCTAAAAACAAATACTGAGCGAGTAGTTTATTGAGCCCCATCAGCATAATTTTAAAGTAAGACTATAACCTCCTATAATGTACCAAACTATATCATCCCACAAACCCCGTAAGCTCCCATTCTTGTAATGTTGTTTTCACACCCATGGAGGCTTATAAGCTCTTAAAATAGTCATTTATTTATTTATTACATCAACTGTTTTTATTTGTCCAGCCAGTTCACAGAAGCCATGCAACGATGCCGTTCTGCTTCGCGTTGCATTGCATCATTGCACCACGGGGCACCTGCAAGATACTGTGCGATGCAAGTCACGGTACTCAGCCATCTATTTGTTTTCTCTTTGCTGTTGTTTAGGAATTTGCAGCACTGACCAAGGAGCTGAACGCCTGCAGAGAGCAGCTGCTGGAGAAGGAGGAGGAGATCTCCGAGCTCAAAGCAGAGAGGAACAACACCAGGGTATTCAAAACTTCAGCATACAACTTTAAAACATTGACCGAGCAGGTTTATTTTAACATGGTTTCAATAAGGAAAAAAAAAGAACATAGCAGAGCAGCTTTTTTTTTTTTGCATTTTAAACTACATGTAAAAGGGTTTTGTTTCTTTAATATCTCACTCTGTTCGGCAAGTTTCTGTAAAGTCTCATAACTTGGCCCCTGATTTTAATGTCGGCCTTGCAGAAAGAGCCCAAACACCTGCTGCACACTGTGATAAAACAGCATCCTGCGGAAGCCTAAGCTGTCTAACAGCCACGGCTGTAAGGCTGCAAAGGCACTGAAGCATCCAAGCGCGCTGATGTTTCCAGGCCCTAGACACACCTCATTAGTTCTCCACATTCTCCCTATAAAATCTTCCACTCACTTCATATGAATGCCTGCTCAATGGAAGAACTAAGTTCAAATGGCACTGATTCCCCGCAGTTCTCCTCTGAAGAAGATAAAAAATGGATTAAAGCATTCGAAAAATAAGCTCAATTTTTGGGGTGAATGTAAAGTTGTGTATATATCATGAACAAAACGATAAATTTAGAAAAAATATTCTTAAAAAGAAGTAAGCCCACGCCGCTATTGACAAATAAGACTGTGTCCCATGCTGCTGCTGATCAGGTTTGGACAGTCATTCACCATCATGTTCTGGTGAAGCTAAATGATTTGTCTGAAAAATCCAGAAGGCAAAAAGTATGGTGCAAAAAAGGAAAATAAGGAAAGGAAGTCATTTTCACGTCTTTTTTTATTCTCACCTCAAACACCCCAGTGAGCAATTACCAAGAAAACTTTAATTAAGTTTGCCTCCGTCACTGATAGGGTTTAGCTGCCTATAAATAAATGGTACAAGGCATGCACAGGCAGTCAGGAGAAGGTGGTGTGATGGCTGTGACTCGACAGCTGAAGAGCCGAAGGAAAAGGGGACAGACAAATTAGAGCAAACGGTTGAGAATGGAAACATTTACTGAGCAGGATTAGACTGCTCTCTGTTCTTGTTCTGGAGGCGGAACAGAGCAAACACTTCGTGACTGATTCAGCAGTGTTTAAATTGTTGAGTGCACAGAAAGGTGCAGACATGATGGCTGCTGATGGAGCTCTCAGAGACAGTCGAATCAGACCGAGAAGACAAGGAATGTCTGTGAGCCAGCAGAGATACTACTCGCTCATCCGGAGATCCTGCTCACTTCTCCCCTGCGTAGTAAATAAGATTGTAATTGAAATCTGTGCAAAGTCGAAAAATGATAAAACTATCGTGTTTTTTCGTCTCCCAGATGTTTGAGGCTCAGACTGCATCCATCCAGTTTTAATTTGGATTCAGTTTGTCATTGGTTTCAAATACGTATACATTCAGTATATAATTTAAAATCATGTTAAAAAACATTTTTCCTTTTTCCTGTTTAAAGATGAAAGAGAAGAGCAGCAGCATCTCTCTCATGGCTGCACATGGTCAACGCATGCATGCATAGCTTTGAATTACTGTGTTAGCCCAATTCCAATTGGGCTTTTTAAGCATATTAGCCAAACTGAAATATTGGATAATTAAATGTAGCTAAATCAGACTGAACAGGCTGGAACACATCGGCGCCGACTGCACACGTCACAGCAGTCGTCCCATTACTTACTTTTTCAGCCCCTCCTTTATCAGCAGAGACTGATCATGAGACAGCAATAGGTGGTTTGCAACAAACTCCCCCACTTAAAAAACTAAATATTAAAAAACGTATTTTAATTGTATCTGCTTTATGCAAGTACATCCATACCAGCTCTGTGTTTAGTAGTTTAATGGTAAATAACTGATTGATCTCTAGTCTGAATCCACACATGCTTCTACTAATGTGTACATCATGCTGAAAATATTTCTCATACCGTACATTAAGTATAATTGTAGGAATGTACAGTAACTGTGGGGAAGACTGGTAACAAGAAATAGCAAGTTTCTCATTTGTACTAAAAGCATGTGGTCTGTCCAGAATAAATGCATTGTTAAACATGGAACCAGTTTGCTTGCTTCTCAATGTCTTATTTCTGGCTAAATCCAGCAAAGACTGTAAATGCACTATTATACGACACCGCTGGCTCCCAGTAAGACGTTAGTACAGTCAGCCATACAGGATCGACAGGCAGTGAATCATAGTTGAAGGCGAGCTGCCTGTCGGTCTCACTTTCATCTTCACCCCTCCTTTTGCCCCATACATTTAACATTTTAAAATCCAGTGCTTTGTAAGGATCTTCTCAGGGCTCTCTTAAAACTCATCAGATACCACTGTGGGGGCTTGAGTTCCTTGCCAGTGGTTAACCACTGAAAATTTAATCCACGCGCAGCTTGCCAAACGGCCTCAGAGGGAGACGTTTGGGTGCACGAACACAAACATCAGTTTAGGTCCACTTACTCGCTGACATTGCCTCGAAGCTGTATAGGATTTCCTTTTGAAGACTTCTAAGGGGGAGTGACAACTTAAGATCTGCACCATTAGAGAACAACCACGTTCATGTCTGGACTCTGAGAAAACAATAACAGAGAGTTTAATCTCTGTGGCCGCGTCTCCTCCTGCCACAGCTCTGTATTCTTAAGCCTCAGTTTAAGTACAGTCTCACCTTCCTTTCAGCTTTGGATCTTTACTTTGCCTTTGTGTTACTTTCAGTTGGCAGTTGACTTGCCATGCCATCCAGAGGCTTAGATTAGTGTAATCCTTTTGTGTGCTGTTGCTAAAAACGATTGTTGTTACACCGTTCAAATAGTCGCAGGACAGTTTCTGATAAGAAGACATTGCTGCAGACTTTAAACTGCATTAATGTATTAATGTATTAATGTTTTTTCCAGTTGCTTCTGGAGCATTTGGAGTGCCTGGTGTCCAGACATGAGCGGTCTCTACGAATGACCGTGGTGAAGCGGCAGGCTCAGTCTCCCTCAGGAGTCTCCAGTGAGGTTGAAGTCCTCAAAGCACTCAAGTCCTTGTTCGAACACCATAAAGCCCTCGACGAGAAGGTGAGTTTGCCACCACTGGCTCTTGAGAGGTTCTACAGAAACCCAAGTCCTTTCTTGTTATACGTTTTACTTGTTTTGAATTTAAATTATGTGTCGGGGGTGGTGGTGTGGTGGTTGGCACCATCGCCTGACAGCAAGAAGGTTCTGGGTTCTAGTCTTCATTTTTAGCCTCTAGGTGGCATTCTGCAGTGCTCCTTCAGTCTCAATTTCTGCTTATTTACTTTGGCCTTGTGTGCCAGAAATGAAAACCAATTGACCTCTAATCCATTCAACCTCCACTATAGGACTAATTGCTCAAAAAGAAGCTGCATAGTGTTCAAGGTAATAAAAGTTGACTCTGATTCCCATCTTTGAATCTGGCTGACTTTTAACCTGGGTTCAAGCTCCTCTTAAGATTTTTGAGACTATCAGTGCCATAACATAACCCGAGGCCAGTGAGAGAACAATAAAGCTTCTTTAAAGTGTTATTGGATGGCTCAAGCAGCTCCTTCAGCTGTTTTTCTGTAAACCTTTGCTTGCTTGGATTGAAGTTTAAAAAGCAGCCATTTAAAAATATGGCCCCTCACAGAAGATGTCAATATGCAGTCTTTTCTTTTTTCTTTTTGTTTTGTTCAGGTCAGAGAAAGACTACGTGTGTCACTGGAGAGGGTGTCTGCCTTGGAGGAGGAGCTCACAGCAGCCAACCAGGAGGTAAATACTGCCAGACTCCCTGCCAGAATACCTAGCATTTAGATCAATCAACTTATATTCGCTCTTATTTTGTCTTCTATTCTACGATATGTAGAAGAAAAACAAAGTGAAAAACATCACTTATGGGGCTATTTTGAAAAGGAGAAACGTGAAAGACAATTGACAACGTAGAAAGTTACCTGTTTTAAGAAGGATTTAACATTAATTCAATTAGAAGCACGTCAGAATTCAGTCATTTTAGACACAAAAATGGAAGGTAAGCAAATATTTGCAAATCAAAATCTAGACCAAATTAATTAAATGGGTTAATTTGCAGCAAGTCAACAAAATGACATGTCAGTGTGGGTACGAACGCAGGATCCCTGGGAAGCCGGGACTCTGAGAAGTATGAGATACACAGTGTCAGTGAACATCTGCAGGCTATGACACAGCACAGCACCCCAAACCAGACATGATTCTCTACTAGAGGTCACTTCTGTGTCTGTGAACACAGCTCATGAATCACAAATTAAAAAGTGATAAGGATAAATAAAGTTTTACAAGCTAATTTGTCAGAATAAATCAGTGCTCCTCCGTTCAGTGCCATTGTCTCCTGGTTAAAATATCCAAACTTAATGGAGAAAGGAACCTAACATTAAAACAATGTAATCCAAACGCAACATCTGCTGACTGATAGGCCGACACTGAGCTAAAATCTGAGCTCAAAATCAGTGGACCATTCAAATGCAAATTGATTATTGATTATTGAAATTGATTATAAATCTGCCAAATACACTCAGCAGGGTTTTTTGTTTGATATTCACCTATATTGGGTTGTTTAAGTCATCAAAGATGTGCTTCCATCTGTTACACAAATCGTACACAAAAAAAAAAAACATTGTCCACAGCATTTTTATTTAATGTCTGATTTGTGTATCTGAGTCATTCACCTTAATATCTGCAAGGTGTTGGACAAAGTAGCACAGTGCCAAAGCACATAGCTAAAATAAGAGGAGTCACTCTTTCTATCACGGCCCGACTCCCTCGCAGCTTCTTGGCTCAGGTGGCGGCTGAGCTGGAGCTGGTCTCACACTGCAGATGGTCCTGTTCCGGCTGGGAAAATCCACAGGCTGGCACTTCACAACCTTTCAGACAACCTACCAGACTGACACTCAGACCTCCCATAAAAATCATTAATGTGGGGCGAAGGGAAAGGGAGTGAGAAGGAGGAAAGGTTTGCAGTCATTTGAAGTGGGTGGGTGGACAGACGGGGTCCGGACTGAAGAAGACAGAGGGCTAAATCCAGAAAAAGGGAAACAGGGAGGACAAGGGCAGGAATGTAGGTAGTGAGACGTGTTTGGAGACGTGTTAATGAGAGCAGGGACGCGTCGGGCCAAAGATACAAAAGTGTGGAGACAAGCTGGCAAAGGAGCGTGACTAAGAGAGATCACGTGTTGGGATGGAAATAGATCTCAGAAGGTGTACCATCTGACTGACAGGGGGAGATGCTTTTCTATATTAAAAGGAAACATTTTCAACTGGGTAAAATAATGTGACAGGCCGCTAACTCTTAAGCAGTCTCTCACTTTTCTTTGACATCTCTTGGACAAAGGCCGTTTTTTTTTTCAGTGAGCTGTGAATTCCCTGACAGACATTTAAGTAGAGGTCGCAGCACTTTGAGGGATTCTCTCACATCGCACAGCCAAGGTATGACAGGCTGCACAGTGCGTCTGTGAGGCTGTCCCTCATAAATGGACAGCAACGCCTGTCGGCCGCGCACAGATGAGTCACTGGACCTCAGAGCGATGGTTAAACTGGTCTCGTTGAAGAGAAATGTCCTCGCCTCAGAGGCTCCAGGGAGGCGCGAGCGAGCCGACCGGTAATTGATTTGCGAGACCTGGGATGAATCCCATTTCCATGCAGGCTTTTCCAGAACACAGGTGTGCCTCACCAAATCAGCGGCCTCCGACCTCGAGCCGGCACAGGGTGTTTAGGTGGCCACGCTCCCCATTTGCTGCGCCAGAACAAATGGTTCCAGGCCCTGTGTTGGGATATGTAAAAGCAAATAAATGATACATGATATATTATCATGAATGCAGCACAATTTCTATAGGAAATATTGCACACGAGAAGCTTTTGGTGACTCAAATAATAACTTCTGACTTTGATTTGAATAACTTATCAGTTTTCCCCCCCTGAAATATTTCTGGGGTGAAAAATTCAGCATGGCAGAGAAAGAGGGAAAAGTCACTAAAAGCTGCAAATAAGATTTGAAATGGAGCATTTTGTTAGATGCTATGTGTGAACAACACAACATTGGCATTGTGTTACTCTCTAAGTGATTCATAATGAAAATGTAAATGTATCAGTTTAGCTACACAACTCATTAAAATGCAAATCAAATAAATTTCCATGTCCTCTGAAGCTTCATTTGCAAAAGAAATGATGAATATGGGGAGGGTGTGTCCCGCCCAAAGCAAGTGATGCAAGTGGAAGGTTTTTGGATTTTGTTGCTTCTTGTGTGATTAGTTTTTTCTGAACCCGATCATTTGTTATAATTTTTCCAAAGACAAACTTTTTTCAAACAAATTATGCCTCTCAAACCGCAGAGTTTCTGAAGAAAGGAGTGAGGAAATCATAAGGTGCTGTTGGTACAAAATCCCCATTTTTATGCTCTCTGCCCCCCCCCCCCCCCCCCCCCCCCCCACATGTTTGCCTTTGAAGAAGTGCAGACAAACAACATCAAAAAGAAATTATCAGCACCGTGTTAATTTAGCGTCTGGCAAACTTCTCCTGTCTGTAATTTCTGAGTTTGGGAAACACATGCGACACTCCATTCATTACTTGTTGTTCTTTTATGCTTTTGATGGTGCTTGGTTTGATCTCTGAGCTGGAGAAATGAGACAATCTCAGAATAAAGGTGTAGGAAACATATGGAGACATGATTCTGTCCTTAAAAAAATGAAGGAACAGCTTCCTTGTGATATCCTGATGGCGTCAAGTGCAATAAAAACTCAATTGAGACGTTGTTGTTTTAACCAAGCACTTCTTATTGTTAATGAGAGACATGAAACATTGTGCGAGACACAAAAAAGTGGATAAAAGCATTTAAATTGAGGATAACAGTGAAATGAAAAACTGTATTAAAGCCCATCAGACTCTTAAATCAGCAGGTGGGAGTGGGTACAGGTGAATCCAATCTAAAGAAAATGAACTCCTCCCTCAAACATCCTGCATGGAGAGGCTTTTTAGGTCAGTCCAGGGCCCTGTCACAAAAGGAGGTACTTTCAGGATGCAGTTTAATATTTAAAAAATTCTGAGAGATTGTAATAGTATCTTGTAGTAAGTACAAGTCAAATTTGCTCATGTGTGAGAAATGTATTTTAGAAAGCACAACCATAAATGTAGACAGGTTAAGACAGGCTTCCACTTAGCTCTGTTTTCACAAGCAAACTGAATAAAAATGGTCTGTGTCCAAGGATTGGATCTAACACATGTATGCTTCTGCCTTCATGTTGGTTGAAACTACAACTACAATCAAAGGACTCTTCCACTTTAACATCATGTAGGATTTGCACATGAAGGACAATTTATCTAGATTCATTTTAGGGATTATATTTACTCCCAAACAGTTTTTATTTATAAATATATATACACACGTCTTAGCAGATAGCATCTTAGCAGATGAAATAACCGGCTTAAAGTCTTCCTGTGGTCACACAAAGCTGTACTTCTCACCTCTTTTTCTGCCCCTGTAGATTGTGGCCTTACGGGAGCAAAATGCCCACATCCAGCGAAAAGTTGCATCCGGAGATGGAGGAGAGGACATACTGGAAAGCACTGAGGCTCAACAGAAGGTCCATGGAAAGGTACGTTTTTTTGCTGATAATTTTTTCTTTTTGTTTTTCCTTTTATTGTTGATGTTATGGTTTGACTTGTGTTGACTCCTAAGCGTAGTCAAAATACAAGCATTACTAAAAATCGAAATTTTAGTCAAATCTTAGATTTTTGTGTATTTATATCAAAATGGTTGAGGTTAAAGATGCATTTAGCTATATTGTTACCTTAGTGGAAGAGTTGCTGGAATAATTTTTGTCAATTTCTATTAATCTTAAATTAAGTAGACATTAGCTATATTTTCTTTGTGTACCTCACACATTGAGGATTACATATAATTACTGAAGATTTAGTTTAGTTTAACAAAAACAAAAGCACAAGCGCTTATTCATCATTATGCTATGAAGAGATAAATGCCTGTTGGAGAAATTCCTGCAGCTGCATCCCTATTCATTGTTTTGTTAGGTGCCTTAGAATCTGAAACCTCATAGCAGATACTAGAAGATATTTACATGCAGACGGCAGCTGAGGGTACCTGGATAGATCAATAAAGATGCTATTGCTTGGCTGGTGTGCAGCAGGATTCAGTTTGAGGGAACGATGTTGGGTGTGGAGAGATGAAGAGCGTGTATGCTGAGGGATGAGGTAATGAGTAGACCGCTATCATCTGCTCTGTTCTGTTGAGATAAAAGAAGCCAATATGAATGTGTGTTGTCGTCCAGATCTATGTTTGTGAAGTGAGTCCGCCTGTGAAGAGAGTTTTGTGATAGTGTGAAGGAAAATGTGTGACTTTGCAACAATGATGAAGGGAAAGTTATTCAGCGTGACTGCAGATGACAGGGTAAAAAAATTCTCTTGACTGAATATGGAATAGCTGGTACACAACATGTTCAACAATTCAAGTTAAATAAAGCAAATCAAATCGGGAAGTTTGTATTCTTCGGTTTCCTGCAGTGACAAAAATTGCTTTCACATGTAACCACATCGATTTTCAATGCTGTCATGTGGCCAAACTAGACTTGTAACATCCATTTTCCCATGTTTCCACATACGAATATTCACTTTTTGTTACTACTAGTTTTTTTTTATGACGTTGATTTATTCACTTTTTTAAATTCAATTTTGAGGTGGAAAAAAAGGTGTATATATAAAAAAATATTCTTACAATTTATCTCTATTTCACAATCTGTAAGTTCTTCTAAGTTTTTCACTAAAACAAAAACATCAGTTTTTTTTGTGGCACTCATGTGAAAGATGTAACAGAAACTCTGGAAATTGTAAAATGGGACAGACTCTTTAGCATCTATTTGCAGGAGATGCCTCAAGGACACAGATGCCTCGAAAATGTTACACTGCAAATGTGTCTAAAAGAAGGGGGAAAATGTAACCTATTTAACAGGTCATGTGAACCATTTTCTCAGTCTAAGAAATGTTGGGATGTCAGGGCATTGAGTAATAAAATCGATCTAGATCTCTGAAGTATTTTTCATATAGGAGCAGCCATGCTGATATTAAAAACAGCAGTGTTATTAAATGGGTCCCGCTCACTTCTCAGATAAGTCATTGCTCACAGGCAGCAGGCAAAAAGGTCAAATTAGGGTTGTCCTCAGGGAGAGGGCGATGGATGGATGGGAGCTTAAGTCTCATACTGCACAGACAGACTCAAACTGTAGGAACCCTTTTCCTCAGCCACCCATCTTACATTTAATTCATTTGAGCAAAAAGGGCAAGCTTGGTTATTAAAAATCTGCTCTCAAAACTCATTTCTCACCCTCACTAAAACAAGAAAGCTGTTTATGCTGAAGCTCTCTGGTGTCAATATACCTCACATAGGGCTCACTTCAGAGATTGAGAACGTGCTAAACCGAATAAGATTGGAAATATAAGCATCAAAACAATTCTACCAGCAGAGTCTGAAGCAACTCTAGCAGACTTTGTCCCTATTGAAAACTTATGCGGTGAAGAAGCCTGAACTCTTAAAAAGGGGAATTTATCACATGCTAATGTGTTGGACCCTTAAAGGAGGACATCTGCAATAGAGGCAACATTGATTTTTAGTAAAATTCAAAGACGGTATCCAAATTCTGTTTTCACCTCATAAGCTCACACATCAGAATTTTGTGTTTCATTGGGGAACATTTGAAAAACTATAATTTCTAATATTAATGTTCAATACAGATTCATTTTTTCATGGTGAGACAATTAATTTAAGAAAAAAATGTAAAAGCTCACTGCGTTTTTCTGAAATATGTTGAATGGTGATGCTAATCCCAACACAGTTATTCTAAGTTTGTCACCTTTATTTTTTTTCGGTACACCTGTTTTCCATAGCGTCTATCTAACGGCTCTCTTGAGACGGCCCGCGAGGCGAGCCAGGTGGTGGAGCTGCAGGACCTGCTGGAGAAGCAGAACTACGAGCTGGCCCAGATGAAGGAGCGCATGTCCTCCCTCTCCTCCCGGGTGTCCGAGGTGGAGCAGGAGCTGGAGACCGCCCGCAAGGACCTCATCAAGTCGGAGGAGATGAACAACAAGTACCAGAGGGACATCAAAGAGGTTGCAAAAAACACCCAAACACACCGAGGAAAGGGAGAAGCATGCACATTTGCACCAAATATAAATGGCAAAGACATCAAAGACACCTATAAAAAGCTTCTGTTCGCATCCACTCTCACACAGACGCATTACTCTGCGTTGTTCATTTGAATACCATACCATCCCTTTAATAAGGAAACAATGAGCACTTTTGTCATGTGCTGATAAATAAATGCAATATATACAGCATAAACTACATCCCCTCCAGTCAAAACAGTGTTTCTATGTCCACCACAGGGCCGATGCCCCCTAAAGTTTAGATTACTTTTGATTGTTAACGTTATAGGAATATGCAGTTATTGTTGTCATATGGGAGGCCAGTATGTTATTACCCTTCTCTGCGTGCAGCAAATCATTTACCTCTCTGAGAATAGCTGTTGATTTTGAGAAAGGGCGTGCTTTCATTTTTCTGAAGCAATTTTACATGCTGCAAACAAACTCTTCAGAGATTTTCTTTGCATTTGTTGGACTTAGTGGTTAGGGTTTCAACTGTACTTTAACTTAAGTGTGATTAAATGACATGCAGAAATTTCATATGCCACTTTGACAAATTCCTGAGCTGTGAGTGACTACAGTGTTAGGAAGGCGGCCAGCTTCTCTGACTGTTCCGACTGTTTTGGTTGTCTGCATGCAGGCCATGTGTCAGAAGGAGGACATGGAAGAGCGGATCGTCACGCTGGAGAAGCGCTACCTGAGTGCCCAGCGGGAGTCCACCTCTGTGCATGACATCAACGACAAACTGGAGAACGAGTTGGCCAATAAAGAAGCATTTCTCAGACAGGTCAGAAAGTGACCAAAAAAATCAACAGATTGCATTTTGATGTAAGATTTTAAGGCATATTTTTGAGTCTGACTGGATTCACCTTTGAGTGCAGTTTGACACTGAGAGGACATCATGACATTTCGCCAGATGATTTCAAAGGAAATTGGTACTAAAATGATTTTTTTTTTCCTTTAACCGAGATGTTTACTTTGATCAGAAGGCACATGGCTCAATGTCATCTTCATAATGGATATGATGGTGTACATTGTGATCAAAGGATGGCACGGACGTTATTCTTCTTTTGATGATTCTCTGTGACTCATTGCAGCCAATTGGATAAATTGCTTGGCCATAGAAAGTTGAGTGACATTTTTCTGAGCATGGGCTGAATACCAGCTGAGCTCAGGACGGATTTTGTGTGTGGAGAGTTCCTTTTTTCTATTCTTTCTATGTGTTTTTTTCTATTCTTTCTCTTTTCCATGTGATTTCCGTTCAGTGTTCGTTTTCCTCAATTATTTTGTCCATTCCCTTTGTGTAATTTGTTTTGTTGTTGTGTGGGCTACAATCATACCACCCTAAATAACCTTGAAAGCTGTTAGACTGGAGCTCTTATCACCAAACATAACCTCGCTTCTACAAAACCTGTGCAGTGAGTTCAGTTGTTGTCGTGCCACCGGCTGAAAGTCGAAATCTGTCCACTGATATTTGAAGATGAGTCGAACAGGGAGACATGGATCTGGCTCCTGGCACAGAGGGACGAACTGTAGAGACGAACTGGCAAACAGGATGCCAAAAATCTGGATAAAAGGGCACCTAGAGGGTTATCGCAAGAGCAAAAATAAACTCTTGTGTCTCCCCTGTGTGGGTGGGAACACTACCGGGATCATGATGCAGCCTCAGACAGAAAATGTACTAATACACGACACAAAGAAACCATGGCCCTCTCTGTTCTAATTACTGCATATTGACCTGTCAAGCTCGCAGCTTTTGGGACCAGAGCATCTGTCGCTAACGGCAAAGGCTGCCAGGCTAACCCGTAACTGATCAATGCTCCAAGCACTGCAAGGAAAGAAATCTGAACAAACGTCCGGGACCGCAGTCTTGCTCAACACCGGATTTCATTTGCATCTTAATGAGGGCAAAGTCCGCATTTGAAGGCCAAACCGTGGTGATTACTGGTATCTGCCAAGTGAAAGTTTCCTCCTCCTCCATTAGAATTTCTATTCTGACTGAGGTTTCACTTCTATTTTGAAAGATTTAGGAATGCAGCCAAAGCCTACACTAGCCAGTCCTCCAACAGAAGATGAAAATCTATTATTTCTGTTCTAGCAGAGAAGAATGCACCGCTGACCTTAAAGAAAAAAAGATTCGCATTCAGTGAAGGCATTTAGTCAGATATGATACAGTTAAACTCAAAATTGTATAAACCTAAGAAAAACTAAACAAAAGAAAAGAATAAACAATGTAGAATCCAACATTATAACATTATCAGTGCAACATGTTATATACATAGACATTTCATGTTTGGATGGAAGTGAAATGGGTTTATTAATCTGTCAGTAAAGCCTCTGTGCTAAAACACCATCTGGGTAGTCTTGAGGTCACCTGACAGCTACTTAAATAAAAGGCAGCACCTCTGAATAAATCCTGAAAATGTCAACCTGTGGTGTTTGCTGCCCCTGTGTGTTTCCAGATGGAGGAGAAGAACAGGCAGTTGCAGGAGAGACTGGAGCTTGCGGAGCAGAAGCTTCAGCAGACCATGAGGAAGGCTGAGACGCTGCCAGAGGTAGAAGCGGAACTGGCTCAGAGGATAGCGGCTCTCACCAAGGTGGGGATGCAAGCCGGCACGAGCAAACGCCCCCACACATCCTGCCGGATACCCCCCCCCGTCTCCAGATGTTTCTGTACCTCCAATGTGCATGTGGTGTCATGTCATGACGTTTCAACATGTCCCTCTCCTCTTCCTCGGCCGCGTAGTCTGACTCCAGCTCCTCTTCCTCCCCTGATGATTATCACTTTGTTATGGAAGCTAAACTTCACGACTTGAACTCCATTCTTAGGAAGGTAGTCCCACAGGGCATCGCTGCTACTGCCAGCTCCTATAGAGACCAGATTTCATTCATCTATCTTCTTGGTGTTTTGTGGCGCGTGTGTCACCGGGACTCTGCTCTGGCTGTTCTGCCACCACGGGACAGCTGCATGGCACTTCTGGCTGGAGCTCATAACTTGGCCGTGCTGGAGCAGCTCTCCTTCCATTCTGTCCTTTGGTGGCCTTGTTCTGAAGCTTTCTCCCTGTCACTCTATGTTTCACTCGGCTCTCTTCCCAGTTTATGCTTCAAAGTAGACATTCATCTTTGAGTTTGGGGTAGAGGCTTTGGCTTGTGTGGTTGCCACTGCTTTTGTTCACTGGCCCTCAAACGGTCAAACGGGCGCATAACTGCCGAGTCTTTTTGTCCCCCCCCCCCGTCTATGCTCTGATCCATCTGTAGGCGGAGGAGCGCCACGGGAGCATTGAGGAGCGAATGAGGCACTTGGAATGCCAGCTGGAGGAGAAGAACCAAGAGCTGCTAAGGGTGAGTCAGTGCAGAGGCGTTGTGCCAGGCAACGCTTACCAGGCAGCCGCTGCTGCATGAGCACCAAAACTTCAGGCAACCAAAGACACATCGTCTGGTTTCCCACAAATCTTCACCAAATGAGAATTCACTCCCTCTTTTTCGGTATTGGATTGCAAAATATAAAAAAACAAATGTTTATGTTTATGCATTTAGCAGATGCTTTTATCCAAAGCGACTTACAAAGTAGAGGGGCACCGAGAGTTGAACCGGGAACCTCTTGATCTGCAGTCAAAAAACATCACTATTCCACCCACACATTTTACAGCCACAAATCTCTGAGACTTGAACCCTCAACCTGTGAGGCTCAAAGCATTCTCCCAACAGTCCGGGCTATTGTTCCGGATAAATAAATATTTCTGTGCCATGCAGCACATGACGATCAAATACAGAAAAGTAAATACTCAAGTGGCATTCTTTGTGACATCATTCCAAAAAAAGCTGGACATCCAGTTTGGGAATGATCCGGTATGCTGTGTGCATAGGAAAATATAAACTCCCAAGAGTCTGCCGAAAATGTTTCTCCTTCACATGTTAATGCTGACTCCTTTACACTTTGCCTGAAGATTTCAGAACTTCCATATAGACTGTAACATCTAATATTGAATGTTTTCTGCCTCCAGGCCCGGCAGAGAGAAAAGATGAACGAGGAGCACAATAAGCGGCTCTCTGACACAGTGGACAGGCTTCTCACAGAATCCAACGAGCGTCTTCAGCTCCACCTGAAGGAGAGAATGGCGGCTCTTGAAGAGAAGGTAGCAGATGGCTTCCGCAGCAATGGAATTAATCAGAACTCCCTGAATATCACGAGGACGTGCTGAAAAAATAGCATTTTCTTCCCCATGCAGAATATTTTAATCCAAGACTCGGAAGGATACAGAAAACAGTACGAGGAGTCCATCCAAGAAAAAGTAGGTTGGGGGAGATCAAGAAATCGGTTCGTTTCATTTAAAAAGACTTCTTGCATTTTACATGAAGTTGCCTTTATGATAGATTTTCTTTTTATTGGAGCAATAACGAGATTGGTTTCTTGCATAACTTAAATTTTTTATAAACCTACTGTTGAATATTCACAAGCTCTGCGGCTGGACGCTTCCATAAGCAGTTTCAAAGTGAAGGATGGTCGCTTTGTCATTCTTCAGCCCCGCTGGCTTTTAAAGCCCCCGCCAGAGCACTAGTGTTGACGGGCCGCAGCACAACCAGTGGAAATCCTTCCTGGGGCATGTAAAGTCGCAGATAAGTTCTGTACTGATGCTGTCAAATTGCTTTGTCCAGTCGCAGCTGGCAGAGGAGATTGAGAAACTGAGATCAGAGCTCGACCAGTTCAGATTGAGGGCAGGCTCCCTCACAGAACCCACTCTGTCACGGTAGGTTTGTTGCATGTGTGCAATTGTCGTCTAAAATCTGTCCTCCCTGTAATGTTTTTCCAGTAAATCTGCATGGCCATCGGGTAGAAATCACTTGCTTAACAGTCCTTTTTTTCAGGCATTGTAAAGGTCAAATTTACCCAACTTCAGATCATTGAAACAGTGTTCCACGTCTCTTGTGAAAAGATATTATAGCTGGATTGACTGGGGTGCTTCTTCTTTTTTTTTTTTCAATTTCAGAACCATCTGCTAAAGTTAATCACAATTCAACTCATGCATCAAAGTACTTCGTAATACGATTTTCCTAAAATTATTAAAGCAGTGAAGAAAAGAAATCGGCATTTCCAGGCAATATAGCTCACCAGTATGGTGCCTCTTATGAAAGATTCACTCCAGTTTATTGGAGTTTGGGAGGACACGGGTCATTAAGAAGCAACGCGATATTTTAGCGGCCCACTGTTCAAGCACGGAGCAGTTTGTAACAGGAGGAAGAATTCTTGGGTCTAAAGCTCCACAGATAATGTGTGTGACTCTAGTGCCATGTTACCGGATATCTCCATTAAGAGTATGACGGATGGCCAAAAGTAGCTTAGCTGTGGTCCGTCGGATATGTTTTTAAGGAACAGGAAGCAAAACAAGAGAACGCAGAAATACTCTCCTCAGGAACCTCCTTGTTATACTATCTGCCTCTCAATGCCCTATTACACTATTGTTAGAAAGTGTTGGATTGCATATCTCTTGGTATCTATGATACCGGATATTTTCTGGCTTTCATTTTATGCTGCATGAAACTGTGATATTGCAACACTGATGTGTAAACGGCAGCAGTCTTACTCCCATCCGTAGACAAACGATTTGAAGGCACAGGGGCATGAATAACATGCATAACTCTTATTACTTGCACTTGAGGTATCCAAACCAGTTGATTGGTTTATTGTTTTTTTGCCTGGTCATTTTTAATCTTCCTCACTGCTCTGAGAAACCCCCCACTGTTAAGGCTTTGTACCACAGATTCTTGACATCTTACAGATATTACAGAACAGATGACTTGGATATTTTTGCTTTATGAAAAAAAATGATAGATGAAATAAATAAAACGTCTCAAGAATACTATGTAAAACTGTCTTTCTAGGTCTCACCTGGACACTTCGGCTGAGCTTCGATTCTCTCTGGGATCGCTGGCAGAAACCCAGTCGGACCACTACCGCTCAGCCAAAGTCATCCGCCGGCCAAGGAGAGGCAGAGTAGGCCTGCGTGAAACAAAGGTGAGGGCTCAGCGCGCCGGGCATGAAGTATGCAATGCAGATGTGCGGCACACCCAAACGTCAGCTCGCACTCGTACCCATAGCTGGTCTCTCTGCTCAGGCCAAATCGCTGGGGGAGCACGAATGGCGCTCGCAGCAGCTGGGGGTCCTGGGAGGACACCACTTTGAGAGCGACACGGAGATGTCCGACATCGACGACGACGACAGGGAAACGCTGTTTAGCTCCATGGACATGCTGTCCCCCAGCGGCCACTCCGATGCACAAACCCTGGCCATGATGCTGCAGGAGCAGCTTGATGCAATCAACAAGGAGATCCGGTACCACACACACACACACATATCCGCACTACATTACTGCAGCACTATTTTTTGGAAGTGATACTCAAAAACCCCATTTAAAAAAAATGGAGGGGGCGAGGGGGTGTTATAATCTGTCCTAAGCAGATATTGCTATCGCTGCTTCTAAAAAAAGGTTCCAATTGGGGCATCATTTTGGTCTCTTTAAGAAACACAGATGCACTGAATGCATACTTTTGGGATGCACAGGACTTCATTTGATACTGTGATTGATATTCATCGTAACATTTCCTGAGGAAGTTAAAAAGCCCTTTCTGAGAGGTGTTAGCTGCCTCCTGCTTCTTGATGCTGTAATTACGATGTGCTGATAAGCACTAATAACCCCAGGCACAACTTCACTTCGTTTCTAGGACCGTATGTGTAAATTGTGCTCATTGCTAATTTGCATTACCTCTGATGGAAAGGGGTGGGGGGTTGCATTTGTTTCACGCAGATGTCTTTCAAATCTGATGTTGCACCGTGATCATGAATCCACAGAGCCGAGCTCACGGCTAATTGCACAATTAGATCCTGGATATACGTAGTTTTGGTCTTTAATGAGTTTGCCTCATACTTTGGGTGTCTTAAAGGATTTTGCTGAGGAAGTCTCAGAAAATTAGTGGACTGAGCCATGGCTTAAGAAACTTGTCTTTTGCTTACTTTTCATACTTTCCTCCCCTCTTAGGCTGATACAGGAGGAGAAGGAGTCGACAGAGCTGCGGGCAGAGGAGATTGAAAACCGGGTTGCCAGTGTTAGCCTGGAGGGGCTCAATCTGGCTCGAATGCACCACCACGGAGCCTCCATCACTGCTTCAGCCACCGCGTCCTCCCTTGCCTCCTCTTCCCCACCCAGTGGACACTCCACCCCTAAACTGGACCCCAGAAGCCCAGCACGGGACATGGAGCGCATGGGAGTCATGACACTGGTGAGTACCTGTGAATATCTTGCATCAAGATTTAAAAATATTCAAATTGATGGCTTACGTAGCTTACGTGAATTTGTTGTGTTCAGCATCAGGGCGATTCTCTCCTGGCATAAAGCTCTCAGGTTATGCCTTGTTTCCTCTTTGCTGAGAGGCTAAGTTCCCAATACATTTCCGTAATGTATATTCTTGGAATTTAAAGACCACTTTAAAATTGTATCAATACAGGTTTTGTCATTTTTCTTTCCACGTTTACAAACTCTTTAGTATTTAGCAAGGAAAATAAGGCAATTTGTGAAATCTCTTTTCATATATACCATTTTCAAAAAACACCAAATCCATTAGATTTATTAAGATACAGAAACTGAGAGACACATTTTCCATATGTGTTTTATTTTTGTTGTTGTTGCTAAAACAGAAATGTACATGCTCCTCCCGGTAACCTGTGACTTTAACACTCCATCCACCACAAGGGCAGCACACAATTATTATTAACACCAACACAAGGGTGTCATTTGGAAATGTCTTGTTTTCCTGTTGGTCTTTGTCCTTAGGTTTTGGTAAATGCTATGATTTCTTTTTTTATTTAAGCAAAGGATGATCTGCCTCTTTCAGTGCATGTCCACATGATCTGTTTTTATTCATACGTTTTTTTTTTCTGTCTCTCTCTGTTTGACAGCCCAGTGATTTGAGGAAACACAGGAGAAAGGTACACTCAGTATTAACATTTCCATGATGTTATTCAGAGCCTATGTGTCCATAAATTTAGTTTAATGGTGGCCGTAATGACGCTGTGAAATAAATGATTGACCCATCGGTCTCCGAGTGTTTCTCTACTGTCTCCCCTAACCCCACGGCCTCATCCTTCAGATCGCAGCAGTGGAAGAGGACGGCCGAGAAGACAAGGCCACCATTAAATGTGAAACATCCCCCCCTCCAACGCCACGCACTGTCCGAATGACACACACACTGCCAGCTTCCTCACATAACGATGCACGAGGGTAATAAAAAATACAGACTTTCTTTCTGTGTTTAAAGTTAAATCTTTAATATTCGTGAAAAAAAGTTTTGGGACTGTTTTTTTATCTTTAGATGCTTTTATCTTAACCTTTTTCTTTATTTGGATTAATGTATGAATGAATGACATTTGGTTCTTATGTAGCTGAGAAAGCATAATCGGTTTCCAAACGGTAACAATACTGCGTAAATATTGCAGCAAATGAATCACAGATATTGCATCTGTGATTCATTTGCTGCAATATTGAAGTCTTATTTCTCCTTGAAAAGTTAGGAATGTGGAGAGCTAACATCTTTCGATAACTTTAACTTGTGTGTGTTTCTGCCCTCAGGATTGTGGCCTCTCTGGAGGCTGAAGCCAGCGCCTTAAGTAGCGTAGCCAGCAGCCAAGACTCCCTCCACAAGCAGCCAAAGAAAAAGGGCATCAAATCATCCATCGGGCGGCTGTTTGGCAAGAAGGAGAAGGGGAGAATGGCACATCTAGCACATAGACAGGTCATGGTAGATCCACAAGGTGAGTGCGGCTCAATGGATTTCGGGTATATGTCATCACCTGCAATAATCGTACAACTAATATAGTGCATGTAAATGAGTATAGTGCGTGTAAGTGTAAATGAGTGTAAACCGCTAAAAATACCTCTTAAAAACTTCACATCATATGAAAATGCAGTGTGGTCTGACCACATTCTGGTCCATTAAAAAGCTTAATTATTTTTGGCTTATTACCAATTATCTTTAAACTGATCTTGTTTTTATTTTTGTTTTTTAATAATTTGAAATAAATCTAGTTCTCTTTAGGTTTTTCTTTTAGTCATGTCTGTCTCTCCTCCTTATCAGCAACTATGATGGACTCTGATGTGTCGGGCCAGGACATGGGGGTGGGCAAGTTGGGAACTCAGGCTGAGAAGGACCGCAGATTGAAAAAGAAGTAAGTTTTAATCCATGCGTCATCTCACAAGTCACCAAAACAGCCGACTCGGCTGAATGCACCTGTTGTCCCTCATTTTTACATCTGCTAACATGTCTGACTATTTAAATTCAAGCTATATTCAGAATGAACTCCCTGCTGCATTACAGTGTAATCTACTGACAGCTTTTATTCACAGAAGGTGGTTATAGCTTCCACCTCTGGCATTTACCGTTTATTCTCTCCCCGTTGCTATACGCAATGCCAGACCCGTGCTGAGAGCAGGATCAATAAAAAGCAGAAGCCGGATCAGTGTCCAGGAGCGGATATCAGTCTGGCTGTATTCAGACATAGAACCAAAGTCAGACTATTGATCCAGCCCGAAAAGCCAATTAATCTCGCAAAGATGCTTTGTCACTTTGGGAGCAATGGACAGCTTTCCCTAACGCGCCATTTAGAGATTACACTCGTACACACTCCAAGTCTGGGTGCCCTCCGTGAAAACGGGAGCGCCTTCGCCGGTGAACCGTCTGCAGGAGCGTTCACTAGACCTAGTCTGTCTGTGCGTGTGTGCATTTGCCATGCCCCTGTGCCAAATGATGAATGTCATTTGCTCGAAGTGCACATTGAGCCGCGCCATGACAAATAACTTTGCCTCCCATGTAGTTGGTCAATGGAAAGTATTGTTTGTTGTTTGTTGACAAAACGTGCCGTTTTACCTCCACTGCGCCGACTTTTCCATAGCAGTGTCCGGGAGTCCGAGCACACCACCACCTTGCATCTTGGTGCCTCCTCCACCTTTGCATGCCATGTAGCTGCCTGCACTATCTCCATTCCAGCATCTTGGTCGACCGAAACCGCTGCGGCCTCATTGTTGATGTTTTATTTTCTGTCGTTGTGGTTTCCTTTCCCTCTATCAGGAGGTAACGGTACTCTGAATGTAACTGAGCATTTGAATGTAAGGCCACGAGGGGGGGGGGGGGGGGGGGGGGGGGGGGGGGGTTGGGGGCCTTGCTGTGTTTCTGTGCATTTCTCATTCCCTCTGCTGCACGAGATGTGGTCAGGACTGCATTGTAGAAGATGACGTTTTCTGTGACTGGGCTACAGATGCTCCCGTAAATGAATGTTCCTCCATTGTGAGATGTGTGTACGTGGGCGTGCGGGTTTTGGTTCAGAGCCGTATTGCTAATTAACTATGAACTCATTAACATTTGTGTACTTTTGTCTCCCCGTCGCTCTCTCTCTCTCTCCCTTATCTCTCTCTGACTCTTTCCTATCTGACCCTTCCTCTCCCTCATCATCCTCTGACTCTAACAAAGCGGGTAAGTTGTGAGGATGTGTAACTGACCTCCTGGATATGACACATTGTCTCAGCCATAGTGCCCTGTCCTCCATCTCTCCTGTCTGTTCACCATCTCCTGAAAGACCAGTGCCAAAAGCTGACGGCTATTATCTATTTATCCCTCATGGCTCTTGATGACACCATGGCTTTCTTTCTTTCTTTTTTTCCCATTTTACTACATGAAGATGTTTCTTCCCTCCCCTTTTTACAGTTCAATAGCAGCTGTGTCCATGGCTGGACAGCGAATGTGCCGCCGCTAAAACTGGGGCCAAATTTACTCATCCAGAATGTCTTCCTCTCCTTTACACGTGTTTATCTATTTGTGTGAAATAACCAGCAGCAACATCTGGTTATGGGAGTGTCAATGGTTCTTTTAGTTTGTATGATTTGTCATAACCGTTTCCTTACTTCCCTTTCCCCAGCTATGTTCAGTGGATGTATTTCTCCATGCATTAGACTTGACCTGAACATAAAACATGAGCTGTCTTCCCCCCCATGTGCTGGATCGATAAGACCGTGAATGTACCTGGGTGTGTTTGGATGAACACATTTCTTCTATCACCCGTAGGCTTTTGTTCGCCATAAATGCTGTGTTTGAGTGCCCTTTCATTGCACTGAGGCCTTCAATGCAGAGGTGCTACATGTACATTGTTGAATATTAAGCCCACTCCTACCATTTGTCAACTTCTTTGACAAAATACTCCAGGAATGGGTTGTGGATCATGTTTTTTTGTTTAGTTTTGTTCTTTTATGAAATGTGTTCACGAAACATAAGAGATGTTTTTTTTTGTGTGTGGGTGTGAGTCAGAGTGCGTCTTTTGGTCTCACGATTGTCAGGCAATTTTAAAGTGGTTTTCTACTTCTGTGTGGGAGGATTCGACAATAGATCTGCGCGAAAAAACAAAACAAGAGGATTCTATTCTCTGCTTCGTATCGATGAGGTGCAATTTGCATCGCGCCGACTAGGTTGGCTCCAAAATGCGGCTCCATCTTCTTAGGGTGCACTTCATCAGCGGCCAAACAAAACCATGGAGGCAGAGAGCAGAAATGTTGGGGGAAAACGTTGCACTTAAAATAATCCTCCTGCATGATTCAAACGCCACATCAAAAATATATGAGCATCGGGAGAAAAATCTCTCTCAGCAGAATAAGGTGTGTGCGGCTGAACTGGGATGAGTTGGATAATTGTGCTTAGATGAGCAGTACGGTGTCCAGCTTCACTGAGCAGCCACTGCAGCAAAGTGCCTTCCAGGTGTATGTGTGTATTTGCACTCAGCAAATTCAATACTGTACCTTTTTTTTTTTCGCCGAGGACTTTTGTGCATTGAAACTCCTAACGATGAACGCCAGGGTTAACTGTGCCAAATTTGGAAAAAAGAAAGGATGTCATAAGAAATCTGACAAACCCTGCCACAGGACAGCCCGGATTTCATAACTAACTTAAATGTACCTGGTGAAATTCGAAGCCCGTGTTAAGAGTGTTTGTCTCTGCCAGTGTAGCTGCTTTTGTGAGAGGGAACCACTCGGGTAGCGCGCCGATAAATAACGGCGCATCGGTTTGACTGAGAGATAAAAGAAGCGTTAGTCCCCTCATGCACAGCGAACCCAGAGAAACGCTACAGGTTAAGGCAGGAGCAGTGCTTTTGCAGACGTTTGGGGTTAGCGTGTCAGGATGCCAGGGTTCAAAAGAGTTACAGTGTTGTATCAGACAAAAAGGAAAATGTGTAAAAGGGTGGTGTGTTCACATGAGGTGTTCTCTGCCCCTGCTTACAGACACGAGCTACTGGAGGAAGCCCGGAGAAAAGGTTTACCTTTCGCCCAATGGGATGGCCCCACCGTTGTAGCATGGCTGGAGGTAAACCGTCGGCAGTTGTGGAAGAGTCTATTCCTCCTTTGTGGATCGTAATTTAAGAAAAGTTCAAACCAGCCCTGTAACAGACACTGTTCAGAAAAAAGGATATGATTTTTTTTTTCTTTTTAACATCAAGCGGCAGGTGATGCAGTACATATGACAAGGAGAACTTGCCATTATTATTATTCTCTTTGGAACAAAATTCTGTTCTGAAAGTTTGAGTGAAAAGCAGTGATGGTTTCAGTTTGCCCTTTTGAACTAAAATTCAGCATGTCTTTCTTCCCGTGTCTGGCCTCCTCCTCCTCCCTGGTGTGGTGCAGCTGTGGTTGGGGATGCCGGCCTGGTACGTGGCCGCGTGCCGGGCCAACGTGAAGAGCGGCGCCATCATGTCGGCTCTTTCCGACACAGAGATCCAGAGGGAGATAGGAATCAGTAACCCTCTCCACAGACTCAAACTCCGCCTGGCCATCCAGGAGATGGTCTCCCTCACCAGCCCCTCGGCCCCGCCCACGTCCAGAACCGTGAGTTGTCCAGCAAATGTGGTGACATGCATTCCGTTCGGGATAACCATCCCGCAAACATTTGTTGAACGCATTTGGAGGTTTTTTTTCATTTTTTTCTCTCTTTTTGAAAACATTTGAATGAAAACATAATTTGAGCTCAGCATCAGATTGTGCAAATGGAAAAATTAAACGAGTGCAAAAATCCAGCTAACAGTGCCTCGAAAACTCAAATCACACATGCAAAGCTTAATATCGTCCTTGTTTGTCCCAGTTGTTGCTAGTGGGGTTTTTTTCTTTCTCCTTTCATCTTTGTTTAGCGCTTACTTTCAAAAGAGAACCTTCATGACATATTTGCACTTATCTGCTATTGAAAAAAAATAAAAAGCATGGGCAGTCACACAAATCAAGGTCAGTTATGCATTTTCATTGTCATCCAAAATGTACTTTATCTACCAATGTCCAAAAACTAAGAACATTTACAAATAAATATAACTGTCCTTAAAACTCTATCACATACACTTTGAGTAAAATAAATGATGAATGACATATACCTTAAATAACATTTTTATAGTTATTTCCTCTTTTATATGAAACCTCTTTGTGGAGCAGTTTGTCATCAGCCAGCAGGGAGGTGATGCCAATATATTTATCCACACCAACCCTACATTTTCCATCATTTGGAAATAAAGAGCACATCTTATTACTTACTTGTATACGTCTCCCTTCATTTCACTGGAAAACTGATGTAAGAGAAGATGCAAAGTTTTCTTCTGAGAACTTAAATCACATTATGCTGATTGTTATGGACTTTTTCACGATAAATATTGGCATTTCTTTGTAATGGACAAGCTTTAAGCCAACTTTTGGTTTTGGTTTTAGCATGGTAAATGGTGCTGGTTATATATGTTTTTTGTATTAAAACTAAAAGTTACTCGGATCACTCTAATCTTTAACCTTATTAAGATTTATTGAAATAGTGTTTCTTTTCTGCTGTATCGTTTCTTTGTTTTGGGTTTTTCAAATTCCCATGGCTTCCTAAAAGCATATTATCGTATTACTCAGAAAGATTGGTAGGCGTACTTACATCTTTTCAGATCCGTTTTTTCAAAATGACAGCAGGACCTGGTCCGTTTAACAAATATCTCAAATTCTACCTCCAAAGCAGCTCTGACAAATGTTTGTGACTGTATCTGTTATTACTATTTTTTCTGTTTATATTTATTCACCATTCCTTTACACGTGGCTGACACATGCTGGCAAGCAATATAGAAATAAGGAAATGGAGTTGTTTGGACCACACCAGACACTATTGTTGGTGTATTTTTCTATGCTGTATTCCAGACGTTTCAAAGTGTTGTCTTGAGGATATCTGAAGACTGAAATGTTACGCTTTTAGCTCCCTGTTGTCATGGTAATTGCATATAGTCTCCAAGGACTGTTGTTGTTAATGAGACCGTTGAGACCGCACACAGGGCAAAAACTAATATGCTGTGTAGGATACTACACAAACACTAATGCTGCAGCTTACTTCGCACAGTGCTTCATCAATACGAAAACATTCCTTAAGGTTATGCTTTTTTTTTTTAAACACAAGATGCATGCAGCCCCTCTGACTGATGAGCTAACTGCTATGTCCCACCCCCACCCCCCATGTTACCCTATTACCTCATCATCTTTTAATCAGTTGTACCTCATAACTTCTTTAAAAAGAAAAAAGTGTGTGTGTGTTGGGGGACACTGTTTTTAAGTCTTCAGATTTGGTCTTACTTTTACCAATCAAAGCTGCACCAAGCTGCAAAACACTTTTATTATAGTGTCAGGAGTGTGACTTTAAGTGAGTCAAAAGGTGCAGGAGTATGCCAGCTAACACAGGTCAACAAGGCTTATGAAAAGATGCATTTCTCTTTTTATTTATATACTACACTCATATACTTTGTAAAGTGAAGGGGGCAATCACAGAGGAACATGCATCCCAACAGACAGATAGTAATCAGGCATATGATTGGTTTGCCCGTATCTTGTCTGTCTTGTAAACTGTAAATTGAACCTGTACATTTAAGATTGAGAGGCTGTTATCTCATCAGGCATTTTGTAACTGTCCAAGTGAGACAAAACCAAAAATAGACTGATGAATCACGAGTCGCAACCAGATGGATAAGATGTGGCAAGAAGCTACTTCATTGTTTTCCTGACATTTTGAAATGAGCAGAGTCTCTGCTGGCAGAAGATGGATGAGTCATGTGGGCTTTGTGTCTGTACTAATTCAGTCTCGTGTGTTATGCATGGCACCGGTCTGTTGTATGTGTTTACTGAACCGTATGCCAAAGTTTGGATGTTCTGTGCTGTCCTGTGTTTCTGTCTTTTGCACATGCCCTTTAACCCCTGGTGGGTTTCATCATCTGACTGTGATGCTATAACACTATTGGCTTACAGTGGTGCTGCTCTTCTTCTTTAACACTGCTTGCCCCTCCTACCGGACCTCTACTACCAACCCCGCTGCTCCGTCTCTTGGGCTCTGCCCCTGTAGCCATCAGGCAATGTTTGGGTGACCCATGAGGAGATGGAGACCCTGGCAGCCCCTTCCAAAACGGTCAGTCCTATTGTGTCCTTTGCCATCACCCTTTTTTATTTTTTATTTTTTTATTTTATCTTGGAGTGTAATACGTTCAATGCCCTGGTCCGAATGAGGACACACATGACAAAGTATGCAACAATCCCCCCCCACCCCCCCAGGACTGGGGACCTCCTGTCAATACTAAAGGTCAGCGTGAAGCCTTTTGTTGCCGAGTGACACTGATCGGTTTGAGTCTCAAATCAAAAAAGCTGGATATCGAATATACTTTCTCTTTGTGTTTCTGTTATTTCAATAACAGAATATTTAGTCTGTGGCTTTTTTTTTTTTTTTTGGCTCCCCCAGCAGGAAGTCAGCCTTCTAAGCTCCATGCAAATACAGTATTTGTATCCCAAACATTTGACTTTTTTTGTTTTATCTTGCCTTACACCTTTGAGTGGGAGCTTCATCCACTGATCAACACAACACACTTTGAAGTTGGAAAAAGTTTATTTATTTATTTATTTAAATGAATTGGTTTAAATTAAACTAATTTTAAAATATACGTCATACTGTAGTTGTGTAGTTCATGTAGATCATTATATTTGAGTTTTTTTATTTAAAAAGTAGTTGCAGCAATAATCATTTCTATTATCATTTTACAAAGTGAGTCTCAAAGCTAACATTTTTCTCTTTACCCTTTGTTTGATTCAGAAATCGGACTCTGAAGAGGGGAGCTGGGCACAGGTAAGTCAAAGCATTCTCTGTCATTTTCCAGCTTTTAAATGCACAAAAGTGGACTGCGCTGCTTTGATTTGAAACTTGTCTTCACAGACTCTTGCTTATGGGGACATGAACCATGAGTGGATAGGCAACGAGTGGCTGCCCAGTCTTGGACTACCTCAGTACCGCAGCTACTTCATGGAGTGCCTGGTGGACGCCCGCATGCTGGACCACCTCACCAAGAAGGACCTGAGGGTGCACCTTAAAATGGTGGATAGCTTCCACAGGTACTGAATTCAGCTCTGGAGCCTCTTGTGACTGAAGGTTCTGAGCAAATCTACTGTGTTGATAAGCCTAACATTGTTTGATTCTGGATACATGCAGTTTTTTTTGTGTGCTTTTTTTCCGGAACTAGAACAAGTTTACAGTATGGAATCATGTGTCTGAAGAAGCTCAACTATGACAGAAAGGAACTAGAGAGACGCAGGGAACAGAGCCAGCATGAGATGAGAGGCAAGACAAGCCCAAGAATGTATAAACATCAAACAAAATCAACGCGTGCAAAGATTTATTGTAAGCCTGCTTTGGTCTTTGCAGATGTGTTGGTGTGGAGTAACGAGCGGGTCATCCGCTGGGTGCAGAGCATAGGCCTGAGGGACTACGCCAACATTCTGCTGGAAAGCGGCGTGCATGGAGCTCTGGTCGCCCTGGATGATAACTTTGACTACAGCAGCTTGGCGTTGCTCCTCCAGATTCCAAACCAAAACACTCAGGTACAGCAGCCGCACTGATGCTGGCCTCTGACCATTTCGCTGTGCATCTGCATATTCTCTGTATTCAGGGAGCCTTTTGAATAATATAATATAGACTTTTATCATTTGTAATAAGCCTTACTGGTGAAGCTTTTTATTTATTTTTTTCTCTTTTTGGGGGTGCGAATTATGGGCATATATATGCCACAACCTTTCATTTAAATATAGAGGAATGCCTTCACAATTTTGTGGAATCTAAATCTGAGCTAGCAGATTTGCCAACTGTCACTCTGGCAAGCCGCCCTGAAAATGTTCACCGCTCATGTCATCTATACTGGGCTAAAATAAGTACGAGTACAAATAACGTAACGTGTCAGCTGTCACTGTTACCACAGGGCTAAAAATAGCTGGGCTTGTGAAAATGAAAGGGTTTGTTTGTTTTTTTCCCCTCCTCATATCAGGCACGTCAGATTCTGGAGCGAGAGTACAATAATCTGCTGGCGCTGGGCACCGACAGGAGACTGGATGAGGTGAGCAGCCATAATCACACCACTGTGAGATCATGTCATGAAGTTTCTGAGTGCTTCCAGAGGATTGTTTACTCACCGTATTAGCTGACTTGAAATCATGTATTTGTCTTGAATTGGAATATTACAATATAACAAATCATTCTGAATAAAAAATGGAGCTGCTAGGTCATCAGTGCAGTTTAGGCAAAAAAAAAAAAAGAAAAAGTTGACCGTGTGAGGGAGAAAGCATAGCCGTGTACCAACCAGATTCAGCAAGTGTTAAAGTCAAATAAAATTCTCTACAAGGTGTTAGGGTTGGTTAGTTCTTTAATAAAAAAATAAATAAACAGATACATGAAAAGGAGAACGTTGCCGAGGCTTTTAGAGATTTTGATTCTGATAAAAAAAAAAAAAAATGTTAAACTGTTCTGGTGTGTTGGAATCTTGGTCACTTTAAGAAGAATGGACCACTGGCAGGCTTTTAAATTTGGAAAACTATTGAAATCTTGTGCCAGTGGACGGATCAAGGGCACATCATGGAGGATCAAGAAATGGCTGTAAATCTGACCCCTGACAGTAAAGAGGAGCTCTGTGGAAGAAAACATACTGGCAGAATTACCAGGCTTTCTAAGGCTTAAGGCAACTTCTAATACCTGCGCTGCATTAGCTTAAAATTCATGCCGACACACTTTGTGTCCATCAGTGTGATGACAAGGACTTCCGGGGGCCGTCGTGGCGGAGGCAGTTTCCTCCTCGGGACATCCACGGCATCAGCATGATGCCTGGGTCAGCAGAAACGCTGCCCGCCGGGTTCCGCCTGACCACCACGTCTGGACACTCGCGAAGACTGCCTCCAGAGGGTGAGCGCCCGCCGCACAGCCCCCCGCTCCCCCCCCCCCCCCCCCCTCCAGCAGCATGTGTCCTCTCAGAAATGAGAGTCTGGCAGTGTGGTTTTAAAAGCTGGAGGCAAACACAAGTCTAGCTTTCAAACACAACAGCTCACGTCCACCTGTTGCACCGCTAGCTCGCAGCAGCAGGCGCGAGGGCCAGCTTCTGCTTCTGCTGTTTGTGAGGATCATTCTGACTGTGTCTCTTGTTCTCTCCGACTCTGACGGCTGCTCCGCAGTCCTCTATGAGGCGATGGATGATAGTCCTGACGACATGTATTTGGACTGGTTTCAAGGTCAGCTATGCCCCTCTGACGGTTCCGGGCTCTTTGGCCCTGCGTGCTCTGTTATTCAACATATCCTCCTCCTCCTCCTCATATGATCTCTGCCAACCACTCTCCTGCTGTATCTCTCCTGCTCTTTGTGGTTTCTCACCCTCACCTTTCTCAACAACTTTTTTTTACTCAAGTCCAAGGGTGTTGTTTTGATTGCAAGATAGCCTATTTCACCCTGGTGGTTTAAAAGAAGAAAAAAAAGAGGGTCAAGTTATGGATTAGGGCCCATGCTTGCTGGTACAACCCTTGATGTAATGAAACAGCAGAAGGTGGCTAAACAGTGCTATGTATGTTTGCCTGAAGCAGGAGGTTTACATAGGTGAACAACATACTCTGGATGTTCCAAGTACTAAGAGTGACAGTCTGTGGCATTCCTCATTCCTCTGTTGTGAAAAGAGAATACTGGTTAAAACAGTCTTAACCCAAAGGGCAATGCTGGTTTATTGTAAATTAAACCCCGATGGTTTGATCTCGTTAACAGTGCAGGTCCAAAAAACGAGTTCCTCACTGTTGGTGAAGTTAAACTACACGTTTCTCCGTCTAAACCTGGCTATATACTACAGTCAGTGCAAAGTAGAGATGAACAGTGACCGCAGTAGTAGCTCGTGTGCATCAGCAGAGTTCATATCGAGGGCAGGAGACATTATTTGTGGCTGCCTAGTGGGCACATCAGAGCATACAGAGGGTTTACATAGATAGGCATCCCCTAAAACCTCTGAAGACTTTTTTTTAAGTGTCTCTTGTTAAACACAAAATAGACTTAAAACTGGAATTCAAAGCCAAGCAATCAGACAGGACATTTTTATATTCATTGTACTGCTGTCATAGAACAGCCTCTCCCTGAATTATAACTGTCCCTTTGAGTCATCGCAGGCTCATCTCTTAATGAGGGCACAACTTTTATTTGGTGTTCATTCGTATGCTCAGTAAACGCAAACCAAAGCCATGTTTTCACCAATTTAGTAGACTTTTTTTTTTTATAAAGCACAGGCAGATGGTGCTTTATCAGCCAGATGTGGTTTCTACAGTGAAAACTTTACGTGAAGACAATTGAACTCCTGTTTTCATGTGGCTGTAGCACCTCTAACTCAGCTGTGAGGCTAAATGATAGAATAAATAAATGCAACTTTTTTTTTTTTTAAATATGCCCAGACAATTGAGTAGGATCCAAGCTTGCAATAAATCAGGATTGTCCTTTTGGGGGATTTTATGACTGGAATTCATCTAAATTAACTGAATGTTTGCCAGCATTCTTCTTTAACAAGGTGTTCCCAATGACATTAAAACAGCCTTTGTCTTCCTGTGTCACTAATAAATGTTCTTCCTGGTCTGTGATGCCCCACTGTAAACTAAAATGTAGTTGCTGGTGGTGTCCACTCAAAACAAGGACTTTCTTTGAGTGATCCATGGCTTTCTCATCTCAAAGTGTCAAAACAAGTGACCACCACTGTGTGGGAAAAGAATTGCTTGTGACCCGAGTTAAATTTTTCTTTCTCCATGTGACATGGGAAAAGCTTTTATCGTCTCTCTGTCTTACTGTCTCCCCCTACAGTCGGATCATCTGCGGTGCAGCGACTGGACAGTTCCACGGTGAGAACCTACTCCTGCTGAGAGGAGGAAGAGGGGAACCTTAAACTGTGCGCTGTATGTAACACAACACAGACTTTCGCTCCGTTAAGTACACGGGTTTGAGTGGCACGTCAAATAGGTTTCAGATAAGGGTTTCTTTCTCTGAAAGGAATGAGTGTGTCTAATTTTGGCAAACCGAGAAGATGTTTTTTGCCAGGTAGCAGTGATGGGGGACGAGAGGGCTTGCTGTGAGCCACAGCCCCATCCCAATTACTTTTAACGTCTGTCCAAGATGAGTCACAGTTAAAGATAGAAACTTACATAAATCCAGAATTTAGTTTTCCACCTAAGATAAAATATCATACAAGAATGACTATTTCTGTATTATGGCTGATATTAATTTTAATATCACAATGCCTTCTAGTGCACAAGTATTTTGATTTTAAATTACACAGGACTTACTTATTCATTAACTATCGACCAGACTCTGAAATTTGTATCCGCTATGCTGCTTATTCCTATTCAGGTTGGGGGGAGACTGGATCCTATCCCAGCTGTCATTGGTTGAAAGGCAGGGCATGCCCTGGATAGGTTGCCGTCAGCGGGTCAAAAAGATGGGCAAACGCATTCTTAAGGGCAATTTACCTTTAATTAACTTTGCCTGCATGTTACTGAACGGTGGGAGTGAGCCCGAGTAAAAGGAGAACATATTTAGCTTTCTACAAATCTTCTGAACTCGTCTGAAAACATATTATGACTGTCAAACAAATGGAAAAACATTTTTCATGCAATTACCTAAAAATACTGTAATCTATTATGTTTTTTTTTTACAGGGTTGTGTTTAAGAAATCAATTTCAGTCAAACTTGACTAAGAGGCCCCAGAAATTTTTTAAATAAGGTATTCAATTAGTCTCAGAATTGGTGTAAAATTAAATGGAGCATTTAAACATGGAAGAAGCGTATAAAATGGTGCCTGAAAGTGAAAACTAGCATTGTGAAAGAGCATGTCTGCACTTTCAACCCACAGGATGTTGCGGGAGTAGAGAGGACTGTTGCTATGGGGTCACAAACAGTACTGTCATATGATTTGTCCATCAAACTGAAGAAATCTCACATGATGGGCATGCCTCACATTTACCAAGAGTTTATAACTGTGATTGGCTTTTGTTTGCATACAAGGCTCTTGCTGAGATTGAGTGCAGATGTTCATTTATAACCTGATTTCAATTGATGGTTGCAAACTACCTCAGCTAGAAAATATTGCTATTATGAATCAGGAGGCCACCAGCAAAAACCTGGATGTCCATGGTAATCAGTCTTTCTATAGATACCTAATTATACAATTGTCTTCTTGAAGAGTTGACATGTGGAATCATGGGGGAGTGAATTTGGTGACCAAGTTTTCCTCCACAGGATCTGAAATGCAACAAGGTATGTCACTTTTAAAGAATGTATGTAATCACTAATCAAAGGGCTGAACCCAGATATATGACAGCATTGTTGGACCATAAGTGATTCATTTTCTCATTTAATCATACTAACGCAGTTAAAATGGAATATGTTGTTTAGGAGAAACATGTACATGAGGAAAATTCTGATCACAATGTGACAACACCCATAAAATGATCATATTGATAAATGTGATTTAACACATGTATTTATGCAAAAAAAAAAGCTCTCCAATTAAAAATCCAATTAACACAGTAACATGAATTATCACCACTAGATTTCAACATTTCATTGATTTGAACTACAGATAGATGCCTTTGATCAGTCGATGGTCTTCTTGACCACAAAAACATCACAAGCTAAAGTAACCCATTCGTCTCAGTTCCCTTTAAAGATACAATCCAATTCAAGCCAAATTGAAACTCTTCTGGGAAGAAATATTTCTCAAACAGCATCTGACTCAGCTTTTTCTTTTTCATTTAAATAAATCTCCCCAAAATAGACAAATAGCTCTCCTACCAAATAGCTGAGAAGTTGAAATTGTAACATTTATAAACAAATTCACTTTTGGGTTTGAAAAGTGATATAGGCACAAATATATATGTAATTAATTTTCCCCATTTTATGTTTTAATGTTAAGTGTCTTTTATATAATTGTACATGTATGACATGTTTTTTCAAAAGCTTAAATGTTTAAAAATGTAATCAATTTCTTACCATAGTTGGCTGTGCAGCTGTGGAAGGTTGAGACAAATGTGTGGCATCCTTAAAAATACTGAAAAGAGGGGGGGGGGAAGTAGGTAGTCACGGTCAACAGCAGCAACCCGGTCACCATAACAGAGTAGAATAACATAGCTATACACAACAGCTAAGCTGGATGTTGTCCATTTAGATATTTTGATGATTTATAAATATTTGTTCAGCTTCCTGAGCCTCGAAAAAGATAGGGGCCCAGAAATGTAAAAAAAAAAAAAAAAAAGATAGAAGCCATGATCAAAGAATATTTTTGAATGATTAGATCACCAGCTGACTTCCATGTAAACTACACTGAACATCGCCATCTTTATCTAAAGGCATTATTTACAGAAGCCTGAAAAGATTAGGATCTTAATGACCAACAACTAACATAGGTGGAAAGGTATTACTGAAATGTCTACAATTTTAACATTCCATTTGATCAATCAAACTGTCTTGATTTAAAAAAAAAACACAGATCACAAAGAAAATTAAGCATAAATGTTTGTGGCTAAAGCTTTCAGACCGCATCCAAAGTGTTCCATTTCAAATTGTTAATCATTTATTAGTTGTTCAAATCTTTTGTGGTAATAATTCTGTTCAAAGTAACAAAACGTTGCCATTGGTGGTTGCGTTTGTTCTGCATACATACAGCTGTCAATGATGTTAATTTACATAATTTAACTTTATGCTTAATGTGTCATTTGCTCAAAGCTTCAATCAGGGCAACTTTAAGGAAATGGATCAGACATTTCACCTTATTTTTAATTATTTATTTTTTTAAGAAGTCCAGTTGCCCTTATTCAGGGATTTATTTTTAGGATTAGCATTAGCTGAGTGACTGAGAATACACCTACATACTGTCCGGTTTGTGTCTGAGGATTATTCAGAAGGTCACAATTTGCAAACCTTTCTCTTGGATGCCAAATCTTTGAAAGCTATTCCATTCAGTGACTGCAATTTAAATATCTTGGTTCAGCTCTATTATTAATAAATAGATACAGTGTCTAACAGAAGCTTACCTTGTTGCATTTCAGATCCTGTGGAGGTAGCTTGCCACTGTAAGTCAAAGGTCATCAGTCTCCCATAATTCCACATATCAGCTCTTCAAGAGGGAAAGAATTAGCTATGTTAACAGTAACGCAAGGGAGGGGATAGAACACAGTGTACACTGCCTTGGGGAAACATGTTACTCAGAGACATTCCTACTGTAACAGACAAGACCCCAAAAAAGTTGAGTTACAAATATGTAGCCTTAACTAGATAAAAAATAAAGGAAACTATGTGTGAGCACCTGACGTAAAGCATGTGAGAGCACAGGTGGTATTTATGCACTGATGCTGTCGAAAATGAATATGGACAATGTTGAGATACTGACAACTCTGCTCGTTCTATATCCTTACAGTTACAGTTCTGAAAAGAGACTTACTAATGGAGCTGCCAACCTGCTGAGGATCAAAACAATCTGACACGCACTGCCAAGAAAACCTGCTCCATCTCCTATAATGTGGGCACCAGATGCCGGTGCTAAAATGTCCTGCAGGCTGCCCTGTTGTCACCGTTTCTACCTTTTACATGTACAGTAACTTGTCAAAGTATAATGTACTGTGTATTTCTTCTACAGGAGATGTGTAGGTTATCTGTAAATTAATATAAATATGCCATTTTTAATATATACACATCTATGTATAAAAAGATATTCAGTTTGTGCAAAAAAAATGTCCCTGCCACCTCATTTAGTGGACCATATATTAATATATGCTGCTCTAAACTCTCCATATTGCCCTATCCCTCCAGATCATTTTGTATATATGGTTTTATTTTTTCATTGTGCTGATGATTATGATGATGAACCTGTGATGCACCATGAAGAGGAACTAACTCTGGATGTTGTGTAGACTAAACCAGCCCTCTGGTGGTGCCTCATTCTAGCACCAGTACCCATCATGTCCGTCTTTTATGAACTCTGCGTCACAATAGGAGGGCGCGTCGACACACTGGAACAAAAGCACTTTCATACAACCGCTTCAACTCGGCCTATTTAGTAGCCAAGGACAAAGCAAGAGACACTGTTGCTCTCTGAAGTTGCACAAAACTTCTTCTCTGAACTGAAAAGCTGTACGCCATTCGTAGACCCCGTCATTTGTTGTACTGTATGTTTTGTCAGACAACACATTCACACAAACTACACTTACAGCCGAGCTGGCCTTCTACCCACCTGTAAGACTCCTATCAGAGCAGATGAAATAACTGAAAGACAGACTGCTTTAGCTCATAGTGTGTGTAGAGTGTATATGATCATGTTGAAGTGAGGTGACTTAATGACAAAACTGTTGCTTGCTGTGACCTACATTTGGTGTACCTGTTAATTTATGTTAGAGTTTCCGGGGTAGCCTATTGTACAGCCCTGTTATCTGTCTTTTAGTTATTTCTTTGATGGACAAACAACAAGTCTTACACGTTTCCATTTGTTTTTACATTTTCAATTTGCACGAACGAGGAATCATTTTGTCGCCTTTTCTTTTTATTTACTTCTTGTACTCTGGTCAAAACTAAGTGGTGAGCAAAGAAATTTTCATTGTCAATTAAAAAAAAACAATGAATTTTCATTCCAGTCGCTGTCATTAATGGTATTTAGATTTTATCGATGGCAATTTTCATCAAGCAAGATGGATTTGCCGTGAGACACAACAGTAAAACTCTCTGAAACCAAAGTCCACCTTCAACTTTGCTCAAATTATTAATTCTACATAGGCTTTAAGCAAACCTTTACTAATTTAGAGATTTTTTTTCATTTACTTGACAGAGGGGATGACATGAAAGGAAATTTGAAATATGCCCAACCTCAGATTTCACAGCTGCAGATGAGTTCAGGATGCAGGACGTCTCAGAACGTTTTCCACTAGCTTTTCAATGTCTTTGAACACCTCTGGGTCCTCAATGGTGGGAGTAATCTGTAAAGGAGTAACATTTGACTTTGAAATAAGGAATAGTTATGAAATTCTTACATTTAGATTAGAAATTTGAAAACTATAAAACTGTAATCATGAGAAAACCTCATTTAAAAAAAACATTGAAAAGCATAATATTCTTAGTAGAAACCAATAAAAAAAAAAAAATCTAACTTCATTTTAAATTGTGCTTCTTTTTGTTTCCTGTGAGCCAAGTTTAATTATAAGAAAGCTACTTCTGGCAGTACAGAAGCACAAAAAATGTAAAGGGTGCTACAAGTGTACCTTGTATGGTTTTCCATTGATCAGATTGGCCAAAGAGGAGCGAGGTATCTTTCCGGAGCGCGTCTTTGGTAATCCATGAACAAAAAGCACACTCCTGAAGGCAGCCACTGGTCCAATGGTGTCTCTCACAAGCTTGACAATCTCATTGATTATTTCTTTTTCCTTTTTCTGAACTCCTGATGAATGGTCAGATGTAAACAAAAAAAATATTCTTCATTGTTCCTGTAAAGAACTTGTTACATTTTTGTGCCATAAAAAAGGGATTAAAACCACACTCTGAAAAATGCAGATTTATGCTTGAACTGAAAAGGCCTGTATTTCTTACTGTTGCTGAACATCGAGCATTCCTCACCTTTCTTGAGAACACACAGTGCCAAAGGCACATGACCCTTCAGAGTATCTTCAAGACCCACCACAGCACAGTCTCCAACGGCAGAGTGCAGCAGCACTGACTGCAAGGCCCAAATGTAAAGATGACAAACAAGTTGGGAAAAAGCTGCCACATGTTTCATGATACTTTTCTCACCTCCTCTAATGCTCCTGCTGACAGCCTGTGACCTGCCACATTGATGACATCATCAGATCGGGACATGATGTAAAGGAAACCCTCTTCATCCAAAAAACCTGCATCCATGGTATCATAGTAACCCTAAGGGGTGAAAATAAAGACATACAATTAAATTAGAAAAAGTACTGCAAGTCTATGGGGGAATTCTCTTAAATTAGACAAATCATTTTGCTTATCTTCTTAAATGTGCTAGTTCTTTTTTTTTTGAGAGCTGCAAATAACTAAATCAGTTCTGCCATTCCACATCAAACCACTAGAGGGTCACATCATACCAAAAATGCAGCTGGCAGCCAAGTGATTTACCATTGAAAAATAGATTCTGCATGTAGTGGAGTTTGGATATTTTTTCTTGGAAACTGTATGGCCTGGAGCACATTATTATTTCCAATTCATTAAAGCATAAGTAACCAAAAGATGAACAAAGTTAGTTTGATAACTCACTGGGAACCTAGTGAAGTAGAGCTTCTTGAACAGATCCTCGTTCTGCCACAATGACAGTGCGGCTCCAGGAGGTAAAGGTAACCTTGTTGGAAAAGATACATTTCAGTCACGTAATATACAAAGAGCTCCTCCTGCTACAAAGCATGACAACAAATAACTCCACTGTGTACATGTTTATTTTTCGGGCCATCTCAAAACCGTGTGGTCTGTTAAGCTTTAAAGCCACAAAAGGTATGTAACGATTAATGACCTCACCTGACCTACAGTGAGGCACAAAAAAAATCTTATAATACACGCAGGAAGAGTTGAGTCAGTCACAGACGCAAAGTAAGGTCCTCTCAACTCTCAGGAGACAACCCAAAGGAAGTCAGTTTAAATGCTGAAAAAACACAGGAATAACTTGTATTCAACAGCAAGGGTATACATGATTTCCTCTTTTATCTGACAAAACCTGAAGGGAAAGTGAGGTGCAAGTGAAGGAAAAGTCCATTAACTTTTGCATGGATTGGGCTAAAGTTCATTAAAACTGTGAAGCCGAGCTCTGTGCTCTGTAAAGTGCCTTTGTTCTCAGCTGCTTGCAAGATCGCTGTCAAATGACTGAAGCTGAGGATACAGCTTTTCGAATCTAATAAAGATAATGGCCAAGATTTTCTGCACTGACAAAGAACAAGAGCGCAGCTGTCCCTGTCTGTTAATAGCAGCTCTACCTCTAACCCTTGTTATACTGTATTTGCGCACTCCTGGGAAATCCCCCTCAGCACTGAGTAATTACTAGCATTTAGAATGAACAGGGAAGTGGGGCAGGGGGGTGATAACAGATAGGTGGCAGACTGGTAGATAAGGAAGCACAAAGAGCCAAAACTGACCGCTGGAGCTTTCAGTCCACTCCACTTAGTGACTGACTGACATAAACAGATACATTTCTCTCTGAGGTTTCCCACCAGAAAGGAGTGATGTTCGATGTTTGAAATTTACCATATGCGGTATAAATGGGAATTGTTAAATTGGATCACACAAAGGTTTGAGTATAAATTACATCTGTGTAGACAAAATGCTTTTAACTAATGTTTCAATTGTATATGCAAGTCTAAAAAAAAAACTAAGGATCCCCTCATGCAGTTGCATATATTCACTTGAACATATTCATTTGACTTACCTCACAACAATATTTCCCAGGGTTCTTGGGTTCACCTCCTGCATGTCATCATTGATTACAGTAACTAGTCCAAAAAGAAAGAAGCAAAGGGAAGCAGCTCAACTCAGTGTTTGTGAATTTAAGTGTCCACCCCCCCTCCCCTTTCCTATTCTATTTTGAACATTTTGATTTAAGTATATTAATGTAATGACCAGAAAGTAAAAATGACTGAATGAAATTATGTGAATTGATGAAAGTAAGAATGTATTTATTTATGACAAATCCTAAAGTAAAAATAATTCCCATTTGTATTTGCTCTTTTTTGGAGTTGTAGTCTCTTAAATGGTTTGTCTCTTACCATTATAACCAGGAACTGGTTTCCCAGCCTGGCCTGCAGGTGGGGTGAGTGAGTTTCCCAGACCAATACAGGAGGAGGTAATAGCCGAGCCGGTTTCTGATGAGACACATGGACATATGGATTCATTTAAATTCATAGCTCATATATATGGGGGAATACCCGCCACAAGCTTTTGGGGTTTTCATGTTAATATCAAAGCTTGGATAACATTTCATAGTTTTAATGCCTTATATGCCAATGTTAAACCTGCCAATAACGGGCTGACCAAAAGAGCCTGTGTTGCAGCGTGTTTGTCTGCCTCTGTGGGCAGCATTAACCTACATTACACAGAACGATGACAGCTACAACAGGCTCTCTCTGATTCCACCATGCAACTATGCTCCATTTACAGCAAAGTCTTGCCTGGCAGGCCTGCTTGCCCACCCAGCAAAGGAATAACAGAATCAATCCAGCTCAGCAGGGAAGATTACATCAGACACAGCAGCTGAGCAGCCCAACATCAGCATCTGTCTTCTGTGTTAAATTCTAGAAGATCATCTGTGAAGAGACAGTCCTCCTTTTCAATCAGTGGGTGCTTATTGGGTCCTCGGCATGAATAAAAGAACAAAGTCTGTTTTCGTTTTCATTTTCTGACGCAAAGCATTCTGAATAACTAGGCTTCTGTTTCCAGTACAATGAAAACAATCTGTTCACTCATCCTGTTTGTACAAGACGCAAGATTAACCTTCATAGCTTAGCTTAATTTGCTGTTCAATTAAACATTAAACATGCCACATTCATTAAGCACGGATCCACGGGTTTATTGTCAAAGCCTTTTTACAAAAATCCCTTTCAAATCCTCATTTTGTCATCGTATCCATGTTCAAGTTTAAACACAAGCTTTTGCAAAAGGCAATCGGTCTATTCTATTCTATAGGAGGTGCATGTTTTATTGAAGGTTAGCCAACAAGTGTATGTGGGAAGGATCAATGAAGACAAATGAATTATTTATTCTTTAAGATCATAAAGTGATAATGATGGATTACATTCTGATAGAGGAAAAGTCCATAGGAAAACAATCTAGTTAACAAGATGGTAGTGATAATTTCAATTCCTGCTTAACAATTATACTACTTCAAACACCTAAACATCAATGGCTTAATGATTACTTTTAAGAACCGGTTTATATTGTGACAAAACAATCATCAAACCGAATGTAGTCATAAGGTCATTGATGTACCTACATTAGAATATGATCAAATTTGGAAAATAACTTCTCAAGCCAGACTCCAAAAGGTCCTCACGGCTTTCTTAAAGTGTCGATTAGAGGTAGACACAACTGAGCCGTTTACAGCAGGGGTGGGGGTTTTCTGGCTGAGTACCAGTCAGGAAACATCAAACTCAAATGAAAACTATCAATACAACCGGACCCTGACATTTTTACAAGGCATGTAAGACCGAACTGGCTGTGCAGCAGAACAGAGATACAATCCAGTGCTTAGAAAGTAAAATAATTCTCAGTATTGTCTTTTGCTGAAGTATTTGATCTTGTCCTTTCTAGAGCACATACAAGCAACGAAATACCACATTTATTTAATTTGAATATCTAATCTAACCCATTTTTTCTTATCACATACTTCCAATTCTACTATTCTGCTTGTATCGTGTTAACACCAAATATGCAGAGTAAGAAAGGCAGTCAGCGCAGGCTGAAAGTGGGTGATGTAAAAGAGTCAAAGGAAGACCAATCTCATGTGCTACTCAATTTAAATATCCAGATATTGTGAAAACTTTAAGCAGTGTGACCATATCCCCATCAGATTGGTGGTGTGAGTCACTTTCACATCTCGAGTTTCTCTTAGCTCTGACCTCTGCCTTTTTTAAAATCTTTTACTCCCTCCATCTTTGCAAAGTTTTTCCTTCTGTACACAAACAAATCAATCTTCTCTTGACCTGCTGGAGATGGGTTTGGTCAACATGAAGCCTTTTGAGTGTGATGAATGAGCTGAGGAAGGGAGGGGTTGCTAAATTGCACTCCTGAGGAGCAGAAGCGGCAATACATGGTATGTTTAAGAAAAAATGACCATCGACCAAGCTTTGCACATTGCTGACGGCTCAGAGGGGAAGTGCTAGTCGATAAAACCAAAACTGTCTTTCTAATTCGACATATCCTTTACTATGCCTTATTCTAAAATCAAATAGAAAGTGTTATCCTACACTTTTACACCAAGGGCTTACATGGAAGGCAGACAATTTTGAGTGAACAGCCATAAAGCAACATTGTATAAAAAGCTATTTTTGCTAAATAAAATGAAAATAAAAATAACAATCCTGAAACTCCAAGCTGTATTAAGCACTCCAATTACATCCAGTTCAGATGCATTATTTGTCTGAAATTATCTATGAAATAAAAAAATGAAAGAGGTAGATAAATTCACCGCGTACAGCCCAAAAAAAAACGAGCCAAAATGTCAACATTTTTATAGATGCTCAAGCTAAACTTAAATTGTTGTTTTTTTACACAGACACAAATCTATACTTGGTTCTGGACCTAAATGTCAACACTCACTGATGTCAACTGCTACAACTACAATACTCACCAGTATGGCACACAGCCCCACTGTAAGCAGATAAATAAGAAGAAATAAATATCCCTTTAATAGAAAAAGCTCAGAGGATGCTCTCTGTACATCATACATAAGCACACTAGTGCTTAAGGCTGTCCTAGTGATGTGTGGTTGCTAGGGTAACTCGATCAGGAGCTCAAAAGATAGGTGACCCAAGGTCATTATAAAAGACAGGTGTGACTGTAGAAGGAAATGATGAGGACAAACAGAACAGACTCCAAAATGCTTGGGGGGGAAAGAGGTCTAAAAATATAAACTCCCTTATCAATTTGCATTCTATTCATATAATCTGTATATTCACTCAGAGATAACTTTATGCATTTAAACAAATCCCTTGCTAACCTGCTAATTAAGGCAATTTTGTGCATTTAATTAAACATTCAATAGCTTGGAAATAGTACCAAATGAACACCGAGATTAAGGAGTCGATAATGACAGCACCACATACACATCAGAGCAACACAATTGTGATACCTCAGCTCTCAGAGATGCAATAACAGGAGCTGCAAAACTGTTAGCAGCACTGTAATATGCCACTTATTTAATACAAATAAGTGGATTTAAGTTTTGTTATCTCTGTGTTTCAGAAGTACAACCAAACATTACATACTGCAACCCAATAAACATCTTTTTCCACTTTGATTCCACCGTTTACAGTCATTGGTATAATTTTACTCTGTAAACTACTTAATAGTCCACACTCTCATCATTGCTTCCAGACAAACAGGTCATTTCATATATACTAAAATTAGATAACTGAAAAGCCAGCAGTCTACTCTCAATGGAGTAGACTGAAAATAAAAGACGAATGTAGCCAACAGGCTAAAAATCTGACGCAAATGAGGACATGCTTTTAAGTGCAATACCACTGGTGGTCACTCAAAAACAAGCTCCAAAGCATTCCCATTCAAGAGGAGTTAGTTTTACTTCTAATTTAATAAGACAAGTGATTTTAATGTCATATCACTCCATCTAAACATCAAGCATTAGTTTTATTTTTTATCAGTCAGGATAAAAGTTTCACTTTCCATTTCCACTCGTTTGTTCATATATGGTGATTTTTAGCCAAACAATTGGCTAGAATTTCGGAATATTCGAAACTGCAGCTCAGAACCAAGATTCTTTATTAACCCCAGATCTGGTTTCATTGTAATTGTGTTTGGAGTTAGTGAATCCTGGTTTGTAAAGAGCTATATTTTCAGTGAGATGGCGATTTCACAGAGGCTGAAAATATGTAGGCCACTCATGCAGCACTTTTGGCAAACACTTTTGGGGGAAACTCATTTTTAAAAGATTAAAAATGATAGGTGTAAAGATAAATTGCAAAGATAACATCCTTTTGTGTCCATTGATGTACAGTTTCTGAGTCAAGAGTATAAAGACAAGTGCAGGGAAAGTCAAACGCAGACAGAAAACCTAAAATATCACTGTAGTCCTATCACCCCTGACTGGTGAAGCAGCCAAACTCTGCCAACTGGAAACGCACATTTGTTGCCAGGCAACATCCATGACATCAGCAACCTTCATCACCAGCCCTCTCCGCCCCCTACCAATGGCACTTGGGTCTTAAAATAGTCCACAGATTATTATCAAGTTTCTGAAAGGCAGAAAATTCTCCTATATGCACATAAAGGAGGTGAGCTGGGCTTCTAGTGGCATCAGTCACATCAAAGGGTACGCCAGGGTACCCTTGCAAAGTGTCAAATTATGAGAGCTTTGTTTGCGTGGGAAAAGAGCACAAATGCAAACAGGATTATAAATGCAAAGGTGGACTGATGAGGAAAAGAAAGAAGAAAAACACTAATAAGGTGTCTTGGAAGATGAATATGGGTGACAGAGAGAGGCAGGAAAATGATTGAGTCTGCTCCACATGGGGATAACAAGCACACCTATCACTTCAGCCCCCTTTCAGAAAAACAATCTATCTGGCTAATCAAAGTAAACCATAGAGAAATGCAATCACAGACTAAACCAGTAAAAAAAATGGTCATTTCTACACTGTGAGCTTGTTGGCATGATTACATTTTTCAAGCAATGTGTATATCTACTGCTGCATGAGAGTGATGGAAAAAAGGAAAGAAATACCAGTCTATGTGATGCAAAAAAATCTGAATGTGTTGTACACAGAAACTGTTTTCTGAACTAGTGGAAGGGAAACAAGCTTTAGGTGACCTTCTCTCCATTGTGTCATACTACCCCTCGCCACATGTTCAAAACTGGCCATATTGTGTCAGCTGACCTTTCAATTTCATAACCAAGCACATCTACAGAGAGCTGTGCACCTGGCTCTTTTCTAAGGCTGTTTACCACTCAGCAGTCATTCATTGTTGGCTGGTGATGGCAGAGGGGAAAATTCCCCTGAGCTATTTCCTTGTTTTTTGTACATCTCTTTTGTTTTTTGTCATTTCCATTGGTATGTGCCTTACACAATTTATAAACCATCACCAGTTAAGGAAGAGTATGTCACATATGATGAAGATGGATCTTCTAAACAGGACAAAGCAAACACATTCCGATTGATACAGAATTCTGAACTACTTATATGCCCGCTTTCCCCGATGAAAGGAAACAAACTTCAGCATCTGGGGAAGGAGATCATAAGCAAGCTGCTTAGTTTGTGGGAAAAACTAATTCTATTACTTTTTATAATATGAATCCATGGATAGTTCTTTAGGGATTTTTATATCAAACACACTGAAGGTGTGTGCACCCCTTCAACTACACATCCCACCATGGCTCACAGTGCCTGTATCCATCCAATTGATTACCACAGTCAGCTTCTGAATATTACATTCTGGATCAGACACTTTCAGCAGGAAAGACTGATGAGCAACAGCACTTGTATCTGGTTTTGTTCGATTTTTCGGGAGACAACAAAAAGGAAAGCATACACACAAGAAGAAAGAAGAAAGGCAAATCATAAAATATTTATAAAGGGTATCCAATGTATGAAAGGGACTGAAACATTTTCAGTGCTGTAACTTGGAGATGAAACGCAAAAACTAACTTCTGTTTGAGGTTTAACAAAAAGAATGTACTTTCTGGGATGCCTGTTTCAGACTAAATGAGACCTGATTGTTCCGCATATATTTTTCAAATAGTCTTTCCTTTAATGGATAGTGAGTTTCTGTTGTATGTGTGTAGATGTGTGTGTGTGTACGTATTAGTGATATGTGTACTCAAACAGGCACAGTATCACTCTGACCTGTGAACTTTGTAGCTGCATGCAGGAGAGCCATAGCTTTCATTGTACTGGTGGGCAGATATCACAAATCAATATTGCCACTTTTACAACAAGTTTAGTTGTGGAATATCTCCTAGGCTGGCAATATATGCTGCTGTACATATCTAAAGTGTAACATGGCGCTTGAGTCAGTGTCCACTATTTTGAAGAAAGTGAACAGTTACGTAGACAGTGGAGCAGATTGCCCAAATTTAAATAAGGTACTAAAACTAACTTCATATGTTTATTTTTAAACAGAAACAAAAAATAAATATTTCCATAAACTCTAGCCACAGTAAATATTTTAAGAATTTTTAAATGATTATGAATATGTTCCACTCCGTCTTTTGAGACAGCTTGCAACAGGAAGTCAATGCCATTGCAAAGAGGACTTCTTTCTTTAAACGGTGTGCTGAACATTGATGTAAACATATTTTTGTAAATGTAATTTTGTGTCTAATTAGTATGTGCAGGTATTAGTTTAAGGAATATAATCACTCAAAGCAAATCTGCCTTTTAACCATCACAATTTCAGCGCCAATTAACTGTTCCCCTTAGGAAACTACAGAGTAAGAACTATTAAATATAAATTGATGCGCATAAAAAAAAGTATATTCTTAATGGTGGAGTGGTAGATTTTTCTACTCCTATTTAAAGTCAAAGTGGGTCTGTCACAAAGAAAAGGCAAGTGAGAAAAACCTATTCTACCATGAAAAAGTGGTGAACACATTTGGACTGCAGCGCTGGCTGCCAGCTGCCAACTATTGGGTTTAGTCGGGGTGAAGAATCCAATGGGGATTTATACATCTAGACAAAAATCAAGAGGGCTTCAGGGTTTTCTTTTCCAAACTCAATCACCTGGCTCAGATAGCAACAAAATGTGACAAAATTTAGTTCTGGAATGTGCGTGGGAGCGGACAATGATATAAACACTCCTATTTTTGGTACAACAAAACACTGAAGCCACGTGAAATGAACAGTTACAGAGTTGCAGGCTACAATGCAAAAGAGAGTAAAGTGTTAAATCATACAGCAGCATACGGCTTACATACGTCAGAATCCTGGGTCTGGCTATGTGCTTTGCAACCTTTTCCAGGCCCTTCAACTCCCACACTGATATGAACTGTTAATTCTGGAAACAGTTATACAACAGGAGAACAGTTTATGAGTGTTTAAATATAGAAGAATATTGACAGTCAATATTGTACTCTCGCTCACTGTGTGTGTACACTAAACAATAGCCATGTACCTGTGTCCTAATTTGCAATCAGGATATTTTATCAAAGGCTGTAACTAGTTTATTCTAGTCCAATGTAGAAAACCTATTTTTCTATCACAAGTAAGAGCGTGATGGGATGGATACCACCTCTGATAAAAGTATGAAAGTCAACCAAAACTTAATGTAAAACTACAATTGAGGAGATTAAATAACAGCAGCAAACACAATTTTCAGGATGAAAATATATAAATGGTTACATGTTATATGATTTATTTTAGAATGTGGTTAAACCTACAAAAAGGGGAGTTTATTACCTGTTTGATTAAGATGCTAAACCAACAATTTTTTACCTGGATTTTGATTTCTGTATTTACCAGTTTTATATAACCATCTGAGGTCAAATACCTGGTCCTACAAGATTTGTGGAGACATATAATAGGGTCACAACTCTGGCCAAAGAGGGCTGGTACTCTGGAATTTCCCACCAGCTAATATTAAAAACATTAACTTGGGGGAATTTTCTTTATCTTGCACAGACTATGTTTGTTCAGCCAGACAGCTGATCTAACATGCAGACGGATAGGGATATATTACAAGACTTTCCACCAATCACCTGAGAGAAGTGACTGTGTATGATTCCATACTTTAGTTTGTCAATGTATTTCATCATTTTAGTATTAAATATTTTGCTTTTTTAAAATCACAATAAGATTAAGGACATTATTATCACTTAACTTAATAAAAGGCATATAGAGTACACGTGCAACTGTGACAAATACACTTATGTTTGGAAGCTGTCGGTGTGCTTGCTCAAGAGAAAATGTGAAATAACACAATCCTGAAGCCTTTAAAAAAAACTAGCAAGTACAGTTGATTGAAAGGCATAAAAGTCTTCTTTCTGTGTCTTTGCTGTAATCAGCTGTGACATCAACAATATGAACACAGGAGATTGATTTGCCAAATCAAGCTGCGCATAATTCAATTTGAAAAGGAAAAATCAGCCAAGTGATCTAATATGCAATGACATCCAAGGTGCACTGCCTGCACAAATCTACTAATTTGAATTTCTGAAGGCCTAACAATAGTATTTATTCCATACTTAAACACATATGTTGCATAATCCAGCATCAATAATTCACCGGGACAGGCTGGATGCTGTAAAAACAATAGTGATTCCTGTAGTGCTCTTTTGCTGAAGAAGGCACAGGTATCATGGCTCAGGGGCACTAGAAAACTAAGCAGTGCAGTGGCTGTGGCATAGATATGGTGGTATGATGCCCAGAAAACAGCTCCCATTCCAAGATAAACCATTTCCCCACTGACCATTTGAAAACGAGGACTATACAAAAGCAGCTACACCAATATTCCACAAAAAAAATGGTCAAACAGCACACTGTCAAAATTGCCATCACTAGGCTGAGTTAGGCACCATGATGGAGAAAACTGTTAAAATTATGCTAATGAGTAACAGTGAGTGAGCATGACATTAATCTAAAGTGGAATGCTTTAATCCTTCCCTGAAACATCAATTATGGTAATGGAATATTTAAGGAGATACATCTAGATGAAAGCAATCTTGCACCCTGGCTGATTAACCACACATTATTCAAATCATATTTAAGTGAAAAATCCATATAATTACTTCAGTCTGTTTATGTGCGCATTATTTTTATTTTTTTTATCCCCAGGGGCTCAGTAAGAAATTTTTACAAGAAATGCACATTATCAGGTTGCCTGCATAAAAACATGCTTTGCTTGGAATTTACAAATCTGTATTGGATGTTTTCTTTCGATTTACCCTTTACATCAGCCCCAAATACAGCTCTCACATCATAGTTATTGTCATAAAAGGAGAAAGATGAAATATTCGAGAAAGCAGTTTTGATAAATCTTTTATTTTATTTATGTAATCTTATATCAAGATTGTTAAATATTAACTTCTGTGACGTAATTTATTGATTGCTCTTCCACACCCACTTATCCAGTTCTTTACAACTTAAAAGAACTGGAGCTGGTGATTAATAACATTTCAGCTTGGATGTTGATTGATTTCCTGAGAGGCTAAATGGCATAATTTTGCCTGGGGAAAGAAGCATCAAATTCTCAAGTGTGTGATCCAAACAAATGAGGCGAATAGCAGGAAAATGTGATGACAGAAAGTGTTTTATAATGAGAGCACTTTAACGGGCAAAGTAATTTTATGGAATCATGCATATTCTTAAAGTCAAATCTAAGTCAAGCAATGGTCATCTCACTCCCATCTCACACCCGTGGTCATCTTGTGATCATCGTACACTAAAAATATAGGTATGACTGATCCTGACAGATCAAGATAAAACTACACAGTTTCTGGCTATTTGACATTCTGAGACTTTAAAATAGTTTCTCTACCAGGAAACCAAAAGTAAAGTGCATCTACAAAAATGATGTCATTAAAACTTTAAGGATATGATGGGAATAAATGAGTGAACAACTATGACCATGACCAAGAATAAGTCAGTGAAAAGCAGGATTTAATGATTATCAAAAGCAATCAGACAAAATTATGCACTGCAAAATTGAATCAAATTTTCTCTCCAATATGCTACAGAGCTAAAACAGGGAATTTTAGAGTAAATGACCTTCCAACTTAGATTTTCCTCTCATTTCCATTTTCAGAATAAAGATTCCCTACCTGTCTGCCACCAGTGATCCAGAACAGGAACTCCAAAGCTTTTCTTCGCCCATTCCAGTGTCTCCACATCGCATCGCTCTCCTGCCAGAAATAATGACTGCAAACTGCAAAGAAAAAGAGCATGTCTGTCATTCACCTTAAGGAAATATGACATATTTACTCTCTCACAGGTATGTGTGGGCTTCGTGAAACATCTCTAATTTTCATTTTTGGTTTAATTTACATTTAACAGATCAAATTAAATGGATCCAGCATTGTAATGTGAACACTGCATAAACCCATTTATTTCATGGCACCATATCAGATGTAAAGACTTACTGAAATTAAAAGAAGATAAGAATTAGGTGGGGATATTTTTTACGAGCCGAGCTGATGTACAACTTTTTCGTTAGAGTTCTCCAAAAGTTAGAAATATGAGAGAGTAAAACTAGGTCATATCAGCTGGAAAAAATCTCTGCCGGGTAAACAGTTGACAACTTATCTCTAAAACTCTTGAAGGGGACTTTATTGTTTGACAATCTGTTGCTTTGTTGCTTTGTCTTTTAGCAAGCAACCCGCAGCGCCTGAATGCGATCCAACCATCTTTTCATCTTTTTTTGACCTGAATAAAAGGTGTTGAATAAATAATCTTTGTATACTTCCAACGTCAGTTTGTCTCCTTCCAGATAGTTGTCACGCTGCTGTGAATGTTGAGTCCTTGCATGTGTTCATCTCCTTTACCACAGTGCATAGTTTTCAACCTTCTGCCTTAAATTTCATACAGCAAGGCCAACTGTTTTTCCTTCCCCTGAAACATTTCTAAAAAAGGACTTCACACAAAAGGGAACCAGCAGTAATTTATTTACAACATATTACTATCCTTTGACAAATATGATATGAAGACCTATTTTAGTAAATGCCTTGACTGCACCAATATCAAAGAAGTACATCAAGCCGAATGACTGAACAATCAAGCATCATTCATATCTCTGATTTTGCATCATAGAAGAAATAAATGTGCCGATTAGTACAATTTGTTCCACATAAAAGCCAATATTTAACCTCTCGACACACTTATACATATCGTCAGTCAAATATGATTTACAATCTCTAATGTTCCGGTTTTTTGATGAAGGGCAGGCTTGAATTAAGAGGCAACTGTAACCATAGAGAAAAGGAGTTTGGCTAATTTCTTGTGAGAGTTCTAAATCCAATGCATTTGTCAGTAAAGGCTGGAAATATGATTTTTTTTAGCCAATAATTTGGAGTAATTTCTAGAGTTCAATCATCTTCAATTCAATTAGAAAAAAGTCAAATTTGTATACAGCACATGGATAGAAACAAAAAACAAAACAGCAAATGTATAAAGAAATGACTGACCATGAAGGAGTCAAGAGAAAAAATGCCATAAAAAAATATTGTCGAAATCATATGTGTGCTTGAGCAGCATTTAAAACGGCTCTGTGCATTTGGAATGTGAACAACAGAAGAGTCTGCATACAAAGCCAAAATAACTGAATGATTCACTCAGGCCAGAGGTCAGTAACACTCACTGATTGGGTGCCTATAGGCATTTTCAGACAGCTGAACTGATTAAAAACTAAAAACCAAAGCTGCACAGACAAGCTACAGACAATCCTCTCTTCAACAGTAAGACCATGACAACAACCCAACACAAGAGGTATTGATACCTCAGTGTTGATGGAGGTGGGAAAGCGCAGAGTATGGGCTGGACAAGCTGTGCAAACTGCCATCAGTCATTAGTTGGTTCAACATGTCAGTGTTATACTTTGGCGATTATTATTATTATTTGGTGAGTACTGCTGAAAAAACTATATATGTCTTTATTTTGACTGCAATTACCAAAAATCCAAATATCTGAAATGCCAGAAAAAGTCAACTGCACAATAATAATTCATTATCAGAGTTGTTGTGATCACATTTTCAACCAATCACTTATTTATTAACTTATCAATTGCACTTTTTTGTCTGCACGAGCACAAAGCGTAGTCCTACCTGGACAGTGGATACTTTCTTCCCACTGCAGCATTTGGGTCCTGCTGGCGAATAGCCCGGATAGCAGTGGGTGCTGTAAACATTGAGGAAGCTCCATGTTCTGACAGGACACGGAAAAATGCTCCAGGATCTGGTGTCCCCACAGGTTTGCCCTACAATCAGCATATAATAACAAATGGTGGATTTCTAACATGCAATGCTACCAATGCATGTGTCTCACCAAATTGCAAATGAAGGAATCATCAAATCATTACCAGGATATTTCTTACTCATATTTAAGAAATTATGAGTACACAAAGGATGGCTGGGAAGCACACTGGAAGGCTGCTTTAAACATATATGGACAAGATCAATGCCTAAAACAGCATTGTTGTAACAAAACAATGCGATCTGAGGCAATGGCCCTCCAGAGTGATTTCCTTTGAATAAGCCTGTCCAAGTAGTAAGATGGAGAGGCAGATGCACAAGTATTGTAATTGGAAATAGTGATATATGGTAGTGATTTAAGCTGGACTGATTTGTGTCTGTGTATTACAGACATGAGAATTTAAATGCCTCAAGATAAACAGACTGTTAGAAAAAGAGACATGTGAAACAACCAAGTTAAATACTGATTTAAAGAAGGCAGATAAATGAATTGCCCAATAGCACTGCCTCTTACTAAGCGGAGTAAATCAAAATGCTAATGAAATCAGTGTCATTCTGCATGACAAATAAAGTGAGCGGCGCTCACAGAGTGATCAGTAGACAGATTCTCAGAGGCTTGATATTCTGAGATTTAGATGCATGGTGAAATGCAACATAACAAAATTTGCAGTGAACTCAAAAGGCAAAGCCAAATCAAAAGAATCAATATCAAGTGGTTGCTCAAGAAGATACACAAAAAGCTTTTTCTTTTCCCCCACCCTTGCTTACAGAATAATGCCTTCTGAGATGAGAAACATCATCTCATAGCAAAGGAGAGTAAGTGAAACATAGATTGGATTTGAAATAGAATACATAAAAAGGAGAGGGAAAAAGAGACATGCAGTACTTCTTGTTACGATAGACTGACACAGACCTTCTCCATAAATTTAACTCTACCAGTTCAACATGTTTTGAACTGAGTAACAATATCCATACACTGTTGTCATCAACCAAACACGGATGCATTCCATTTACAGGGAGAACAAAAAGCAGATAAATAACTTTTCATCACTAATAATAGCTTTTCATGACTTAAGAGTCCCAGATTTTGTTGTTGTTTGTACAACTGTTGTAACTCTAGATAATTAAGATAATTTACTGGGACATACCTCATAGAGTATTGTGCTGTTACCATGGAGCAAAGGACCATAGCAGATATACGAGTGGCCAACCACCCAACCAAGATCTGATGCTGCCCACCAAACCTGCATCAAATGAATATATGCATGCAATATCATGGAATTCAATAAAGCAAGAATTACATTTACACTGTCCTGATATGACCTAAAAATGCTAAAGGTATTAAATAAAACACCTATTTCTGAAAGGGATTATATCAGTAAGTGTATAGTAACTGAACATAAAGTTTTTTCTGAATTTCATGGTAATCACATATTCTTTAATAGGGAAAGTTGTGCTTCTCTTGGCTTTCATTTCATGCTCTTTGTTCATAAGAATATCAACGAGGAAGATACTTTATCATCTTACATCTCCAGGACTGAGTCCATAAATATTTGACATGGTCCATTTCAGCATAACAGCATAGCCTCCAGTGTCTCTCACAACACCCTGCAGGAAAAGATAAGAGAAACATCAGACTGCTGACAGGTATTCAACAAAGCAAGGAAGCAGGGGTTTAATATCACTTTAAAAGACAACCACTCGGCCATGCAATATTGAAAAAGAATAAACCTTTTCTCAAAATGACTGTTTGTGAAAAATAAACTGTCAGACTTTAAGATGGCACAAGATACTAATGAAATATTTCTGAGCAATGTAGTGTGCCCTTCAGTTTCCATGTTAATAAGTCCTTAAAGTGATGCTCCACCTACAGCGATTGAGGGGAAAAAAAGTCAGTCGAGTGGATCAAACTTAAAAAGAGTTGCTATTTACTGTGCTATTTAGCCCAGGGACTAGCCAGAGTTAGATTTTCTCACAGCACCTGTTTGCCAATGTAAAATGCATGGCATTTGAAAAAAACCCACTGAATTTTCCTTTGAAACCAGCCAGAATGAAATTCTTCCTACAAAAGTTCCTGCAGCTGTGTAGATGATGTATTTCATGCTGATAATGTTTAGACTAGACCCGAGATGTTTTGCTTAGTTAAAGAGCAGGGGAGTCATGAAAAACACAAATACAGCTCAACAAATCTACAACTTGTTAACATAGACAAATACAGTATGACTTTGTTAAATCTAAAACTTTGAATCACTGGATGCGAGTACCTTTGGTGTTCCAGTAGTCCCAGAGGTATAGAGTACATAGAGAGGATGGTTGGAGGGCAAGGAAACACAGTCATGTGGCTGAGCAGCAGCCATTTCTTCATCCCAGTCGAGACTCAACTCTGGACTCAGTGACACTCTCTCCTGAAAAAAAGGTTAAATAAGACTTTAAAAAAATAAATCTGCCAAAAATGACAACATTACAGCAGTTTATCCCTATAAAACTAAAGATTTACATTTTTCACCCTGCCTTCAATTAGAGAAAAGAATGACCAACTCTGCTTGCCTATTCTAGAAATTACTGGAGCACAAATAATCTTAAAAGGCGTATGTATCAATTTTATATTCTGTTGAAACTCCCCAGCATTGCAAAAATCTCTCCAAATCTCAGCTTTGAGGCTCAGTTTATTGTCGCACACAGCTCCTGCTGCTGGCATTCCCACTTCACTTTTAAAACATTGCTTTGATCATCAATATTCCCGAGACATTTCAGGCAAAAAAAGAACTCTACAAACCCTTAAACTTTGTAAGATTTATAAGTTTTAAATGAAAGCCAAGCCAGACTAAAACTTGTCTGTTTTCACATGGCTTACTAAAGTAAGACTTCTTTCAGTGGGAGCAACAGCCTTCAAAGTGGTGCTTCAAATGACTTTATGGGATCAGGCTTCCAAAGAATTCTGCCTTTTCAACTTGTGTTCAAGCCATGTATTCACTTGTTCCCTCATTAAGAACTATGACTACAGGTACAAAATCAGATTAAAAATAATACAATTCTATATATAAATGAATTCAGGTAATTAAAACAGAGGTGGATATAGTTATACATTGATGAGAAGAATTCCAAATGTGAAATCAAACAGAAAGTCAGTTAGGCCAAACATAAAATTCAGCACTGTTTGATACAAATCAGGATGCAAATAAACCAGAGTTAAGCATGTGCTTTACCATAGCATAGTTTGACCTCATGACGCGCACAGAAATCCCTGCAAGTGTAGTGACCACACTACACTACCTTTTATATTCAGTTTAAGGCTTTTTCAAGCAAGATATAACAATGACTTAACAGTATATATTCAAACATTATATGTTGGCAGCATTGACCAACTTTTTTTCTGAAATAAAGCACTTTTTGTAAAATGTAACACCTTGGGAGAACATTTTCTCCCCAGGAAGCTTCACAGTAACCTAATTATTCATACTTATTTATGGCTACTGTATTTAGACAGATTCACACTCTGTCACATAATCAACAGGCTTTGAAACAACATGTCAAAAATAGGAGTATGGTGCATAGAGCTTCTCACCATGTTTGGCCTGTTGTAGATGAGGACTTTTGAGGGCCTGTGGGAGCTCATCTCCAAGGCTTTTTTCACCAGAGGGATGTACTCAACTCTTCTGCCTGGCTCGATGCCAAATGAGGCTGTTACTAGCAGCTTGGGCTGAAAAAAAAAGAAAAGAAAAGAAAAAGAAAACATACCATCCTTAGTGAAATACATACATCACCCATTAAAAGGATTCCAACAAACTGAGCAATTTCAAATAAACTTTCAGATGTAAAACTGTGATGCACAGGGGGAAAAAATAAATACCCTGTTGATCAACCTTAATTGTGTCTTATGCAGAAATTACAGGGTTATACATCGGTGCTTATGACAAGAGGATAAAGTGCTCTCATACAAATCCATCTGTTAATTTAAGACAAGATTAATTTCTTGGCTCTTGTTTTTGTTTTTAAATAATTCATTTTACTTAGAGCCTTGCATAAAAGTTGTGATAAATGTCTTTTGTAAGCTAGGTTCAATAGAGAATCAATTCATTTACTGGTCAAACGATGCTGAAAAAAAGCAGAACTGAAAACTTCTACCCTCTTGCAGGCATCATTATATATATATATATATATATATTTTTTTTAAAGGGTTTCTTTGTTTTTATGCGTCAAGATACTGATCCCTTTTTTAAAATAAATAAATAATAATAAATACTACTACTTATCTGTTAACTGTCAGCTTGGCCATGAATAAAAGTGTCTTCCTTCCCATTTTTATTTTTATAAACTTATTCAGAAAAATTTATCTTTGGTGAGCCAAGCCAAGTGTTTTTAATTTGAGAATGACTGAATATGAGCTTAATGCAATAGAGAAAGTCGCAGGCATCTTATATTCTCAGTGTTTTAGATGGCTGTAAGCCACACACTTTAAAACCTCTTTTTCACCTGCCGACACAATTTCCTGAGCTCATAATAAGTCTTTGGCATACTTTGGTATAAATAACACAGCCAGATCTTTTGTAGCTCCTTTTTATTTCATTAATATAAATCTCAGTTCAAGTGTATCCATTCAGGGCCTGGAATGACCGATTCCACTCCAAGCCATGCCTCTCATTCTCAGAGGTTTCTTAATTTCAAACGAGTAGTACCTAATAAAGCTTTGAGCAGATTATTACATTATGAAGAAACACAGTAAGTAGCCTGAGAGCTCAAAATAAGCACTGATAGAAAATACTTGTTTGAAAATGTTTTTATCAAAATCCCCTTCATCTGCACCGGCACCATTGACAGCTAGAAAATTGCTATTCCTGGGGGGTCCAACTCTGGTCCTCAAGGGAGGCTGTCCTGCAGGTTTCAGATGTTCCCCTGCTTCTACACACCAGATTGTGATAAAATGGATCTATCTAAAAGTACTGGACAAGCCTGCTTATTGCACATAGGTGTGCACCAGATGTGTTGAACCAGGGAAGCAGTTCTAATCCCCCAAGGACAGCTACCCTCACGGACCGACTTTGGAGACCCCTACACTAATCACTCATATGTTGCCCAACTTTTTAGAATGAGCACTGCAATGCTGGCCATTCAATGATAGCTTTTATCATTTATGTGAAAATACCTGTCACATATCAGCTCTACAAACTGATCTTTACCGGACCTTCTTTTATGTGTGTGTTTTCTAACACACACTGACATTTGCTCCTGAAATGGTTACTGGTGGTGCATTAAATGACATGAGTTTCAAGCCTCAGAGAACCTGTAGAAAATTATTTGCCAAGTTATTTCTATGTAAAGTGTATTATATCATGATGAAAAGATTTAATGTTAACAGCAAAGCACGCAAAAGAGTTGAAACTGTTTTACCTCCTCAGGTTCAGTGAATGCAGAATCAACTAAAGCTCTAGTCAAAGAGGCCGTATAACCTTGTAAAATAATGCACGACTCCCCTGCAAATTGAACAATCACAGAATAGGACTTGCGTGCTTCAAGCAAAAGGCACAGGTTGCTTTTTATTTCCAAGTTAGTAATAATTTGAATAACTTGAGATACTCAAATATGTGCTCTTGTGCGCAAGAGTGCAAAATTGTTTTTTCCCCAAATATGTTCTTTTATGGTATCAAATGAGAAATGTAACTATGAAATCATTTGTTGTATCCATGTTTTTATCTTCAATAAATTACATGAAAGTAAAAAAAAAAAAAAAATCCATAATTGCATTTTTGGAAATTGACCACTCGAGCAAATCATTATGCATAGATGAGAAGATAAAGAGCAACAGCTCCTTACTTTGGCATGATCAATGCGGACAGACAGCTCTCTGGAAGCAAAGCCGCCAAAGATGAGGCTGTGTGGGGCGCCGATCCGGGCACAGGCCAACATGGTGATCATTGCCTGAGGCACCATGGGCATGTAGATAACAACAAGATCCCCTTTCTGTACCCCATTCTTCACAAAAACTCCTGCTAATCTGGACACCTAGAACATGATAATAATCAGCAGGGAATTGCACAGAATATCAACACATATTGGTTCATTTGCATGCTTTGAAATGTTGAGATGTATTTATTGTCAGTCATATAATCTTCTCTTTTTCTAAATCATAATGAGCAGTGCCTTTATAATAATTTTCTAAAATAACACACATTATCCAGTAATTGCTTAAAGCAGAAAACAATTAAAAATTAAAAACTCTTAATCTTGAGGCAAATGAAAAAAACAAAAAAGATGTTGTATTTCTACCAGGAAATAAAGGTGTTTTATCCCAGTTTTAAAGGAGATCTCATGCACCTTAGGGGTGAATCTCCCAACTGTTTTTTGTTTGAAGGGGCAAACAAAATCAATGATATATCAATATATAACATTGTGATAAGGAATGACAGAATAGTCCCAAAAATTCAGCTATTTCCTAAAAAATAAATAGTTCCCCATACATCCCTCTTGTGGATGCCATCCACTATTTTAGTTTAGGCTGAAGAGCTTCAGTTTACAAAAGCTGACATTTGTTGTGAATTGTGGCTTGATAAAGTAAAACTGAGCTGAACGGTGGATATAAACCTGGATATGGTAAAGAACCCAAACATCATTTGCTCACACTGGTTTTAATATGTCCATTTACCTGGTCCTGAAGTTCCCTGAAAGTGATTATCTGTTTAGTTCCAGTCACGGGGCTGTCATAAATGATTGCAGGCTGCTCTCCACGGCCACTTTCTACATGACGGTCCACAGCGTTGTAACACATATTTAACTTTCCTCCCACAAACCTGACAGCAGAGAAGGATATTCTTTACTCACAACAGATGCACAAAACATGGTTGTTAAATGAAGACTGTCATTTCAATGCATTTTAAACATATAGGGTCTTAACATTAATTGGCGTTTGTAGATCTTTTTTCTTCCATTTGCCCAAGACTAACATTTAAAGAGGTAAAGAAAAAAAAGTGCTTTACATTCAAAATATAAAATCATGTTCAACTCTGTGGGTATTTGTCATGTGTTGCCCTTCTCTTTGTGAAAACATTAAAGCACAATTCAATAAAACCAAGTGACAGAGGTCACTGCAACAAATCAATGTCCTCACTCATGCAACATTTCAACTCATCCCGGAGCTATGAATAAGAATGAGAAAAAAAGAGCAGCTAACAAACAGAGCAGATGGTGTCCGAGAACTACTGTGTGGAGGACTAAGACAGTGGGTGTCCGTTTCATTTATACTTCTCCAGATTAAGATTTTTCTCTCTCCTACATTAGATTGAATAATTGACTCTCCACCGCGGGGAGACGTTAGCTGTTGCGCGCGTGCCGTTTGAACTCATATGAACGATACGTTCCGAAACTATTCCAATTCAGATATTTAAAGTTCAAGTTTTTCCAATTGTTTTCAGATAATAGCGCTTAATATCGACGCCACCGGACGAATAAATGCACGCTCTACAGGCGCCTCCTTAGCTAGATGTCTGTGCTGTTAATGACTGCACACGACGAGCTAACAGGTGGCTGGGAACACGCCAAACTTTTGAAAAATGTACTTACCATTTTTAAACACAAATTAAACAGAATCTTATACTGCTGTTTGCAGACAGAATAAACATACAATTAGCCTGAAACCAGCAATTCCCTTTTTTTCTTGATATACGTTATTTGTTTGGTATCAGATTGGATCAGCTGTGTCGCCACCACTAAACTCTGCTGTGATTGGCTGTTACCTTTCTGACGCTCAAGACTTAAAGTCTGAGGACTTGATTAATCCAATATTTGAAACAATGTGGCTGATAAATATACATAAAATGCTTTAGACCACCGGGGATTGTTACAGGGCTTGCTTTAGTCTAAACAACAGTCCAAATTAAGGTTCCAAAACTATAAAAATGACAGAAATTTTTCACGGTGAAATCTTGGCAATTTTTGTGTTTATGGACAGTTTACGAAATTTTATTTTCTATTATTTCAACTTGAGTCAATCTCTGGAGTAACTTTCTGACATAAAAACTGGTGTCTATGAAGTGATTTGAGTCGCTTTTTGAAGGGGGTGGTCTTCTTTAAGGGGATTTTCCTGAACTGACCGGAAATATGTCTTAATATAGTTGCATTTTGAGGTTTGTTTGCTTTTTGTTTTGCTAGTTCTAAATAAAATAGGTGGCGGTCAAGTTTAAGTCCCTGGGGGCGACGTCATTCTGACATGTGCGCAATCACTGGCTGCTTGCCCCATTCTGCCCCGTTCACGTGTACCGCTGCAGACCTACCATTGTGGGAACACGGGGTCCTCAACGTGCAAAGTCTTACTCCACGTTTCAAACCAGTTTATGTCCTGTCCCACCTCGGCCCAGTATTTATCCGGCTCGCCTCTCGCTGCAGCGAAGGCTCTGCTGTAGGCAGAGTCGGACGCGTGTCTGCAACTCTGCAGTCCCAGGTACTTCCTGCTCCCTGCAGATGCATGAGGTCCTGTTGCTCCAAAGCCACGTCGTTGCTGCTGTGTTGTTGCAGAGCAAAGTTTCCTCACAAGTATCCTCCAGTGCTGCACAGCGGCAGCGCAGTGCTTCAGGCGTGTTATGTACTTAACTTGGAAGTGCATTGCTGCTTTCTCAAAGGTTAACTATCAAGCGTTTCTCTCTTTTCTGATTGTTTTCCTAAGTTTTCCTGGTAGCAAGCAGCCTGCTGTCTTTCTTTTCAACTCTCTGCAATGTCATCTGGTGCCACCTAAAGGGAGAGCTTTCACCAGAAATCTTTTTATAATAGGCTTTAGGAATGTGAACTATGAACTGGATGTGGTTGAGGCAGGAGGAGCTTGGAGCCAAAAGAGAAAGAAACAACACAATGCTGAAAGGAAAGAAGTCCTTATGGGACTTTAAGAATTGTATTTGAATTTGATGTGGTCTTAAAAAATGTGGAATTAAAAATCAACATTATTGATGAATGGTGCCTATATTACACTGGCATCATACTCAAATGATGCCCTGTGAAAAACAATTATAGTCAGCTCAGCATCTGAAAGTGTCCTTAATATAAAATTAATCATCAAAGTTATTAATCTTGTGAGCCAATGGAAATCATGAAAGTCCTGTTAGGCAGAATCCCTTGGATAGCTTTCATTCCCATGCTCCAGCAGCACTGTCACACCACACAGGCAGCAGCAGCTTTCCACCCCACTGAGGCATTGTGTGCATTTCTTTGGTAAATACCCATAATCCAGCTCGCCCCCTCTGGACATGACCCCTGCACAAGGATGCCCCCAGTTGGGTTGCTAATCCATCTGATATTTCACAGAATCTGTTTCTATTTATATATGCCAAGCACTGTTTTCCATGGGAGTTTAATGGAAGCATCGTGCACTCTCCAGGGAATACTGCTTCCTTTTAATTTTGGGGTCCATTGTGACTGCTCAACATTTTCTACTTTTGTTTGGAGGGAAAATGGTTAGGGGATATTACTCGTGTCAACACATGTAATGTCAGCATGATTTTATTCCACATTATTTCGAATAACTGACCCCTCTTAAACTATGTCTCCTTTTGTCTAATCCTGTCTTTCTTGATACTGTGAGTCTGTTTTTGTTCTTATCTAATAGATTATTGATTTATATCAAAATTCTGCAGAAACACATAAAGCAATCTATATTCATGTTTATCAAAACTCCTGACAGCTAAACAAAGCCTCCCTCCTCCCCTCATGTTGTAATTTGTTTTGGCAAAATGTCTCACTAAATCACTTCTCACTCAAAGAGTGCCATAATTTTTTCAAACTGTGCCGATGCAGCTGGCAGGACATGCATCATTCTTCTACTCTCTAGCTGCGGACGTGAACAGAGCACTAACTACACAAACAGCAGCTTGAATAGACTAAGAAGTAAAGTGATGTCCAAAGTGCCTTATTGTAACTGCTTCATGTTGCCCTCATCTCTGATTTCATGTTATCTGTCTGATGTTATGAGACAATTTCCAAAGTTTATCTGCGAATGATGAACCTCAAGTTTTTTCCCCAACAGCACGTCCACATGTGAATTTATTCTTAAATGAGTTTGAATATAGGGATGATATTTTTACATTTTGAATTTGTTTCAGATGCAGCAGCTGTCAGTGAGGTCTGTAATTGATTTCAGTTGGTATTATTCATAGTTTAACGGAAGAGCAACATCGTGGGAAGTTATGTTATACGTCTGAATGATAGTTGTTAACTATTAAATCTTGCTGAATGTACCAAACATTAAAAAGCTCACAAAGTGAAAGCCTTTATCCCTTGCTGAGCCTTTTACAACCAGGACCAGGTCAGACATGTTACTTAAACAAAAGCCAACATGGTTTTCATGAGTCATCCAGCTTTGGAACATCGGTGTGCTTTATTTCTGTTTTATCAAATTTGGTTGAGTTAACTACAAGTGGACACAGTAATGTTAAAGACGGTTATTTTCCTACTATCTATTTATTCAGACTGTGATAAAACTATCATCTATCTTTTCTGATCTCATTCTTGCCTTGTGGTGGACCCAAGGAAATATTAACTTCTCTATTGCTACAGGAAAATTAAAAACACTTAAGGTCTTGAACCAGAAATTAGCACAACTTGGATAGTTTCTTACCACTTTCCTTCCTTGTCATTGTAAATAACTGATAGAACTTGCCCTCGAAAAGGGACGTGAGGAAAAGTTAATGTATGACAGTTAAAGAGAAGATAAGGACAAGGCTGAATCAGATTCTCAAGTGATGACAAAGCAAAATTTATATAGGGAGGTTCAGATATCCTTGATGCTGGCTTGTAAAGGAAGACAATCAACTCAAGAGAGATGAGATTTAGTCACAAGTATATTTCTGTCATGCAAGTGAAACCACTGTTAGTGTGTCCCACTCTCTAACACTGGCTGTTTGACAAAGTAAACAAAACCTGTTTCTTTTAAAGAGGCATCAGCACCCTAATGGGTAGTTAAGGTTAATGAGTTGTGTATTGTGTGAATTCCATGATCGGTTGATGGTATTCTATTTGAGTTCAAATAAGAAATGCTTTAACAATCCCTGAAGGGAAATGGCATTGCTGCAGTACCAGCTTCTAAATATATACTTTTTCTAGACAGATAACAAAATTGAACAAACATGTAGAAAGTGTAGGGGAGAGGAAGGTGTGGCAGACATCTCTAAAGGTCAGCTTAATCATGACAGCCAACTGTTTCTTCAAGCGAGGCGTTAAGAACGCATGAAGAGTTTTCTCAAAACACAGTGTTTGATGTGACATTGCTTACTGATAGCTGGGATAGGCTACAGCTGAACAGTGACCCGACCTGAAAAAAGCAGGCGTGGATGGATGGATAGATTTAAGGTATCTCTTGGAAGGTTTCTGAAGTTGTGCTTTGTTCAGCACTTATCAACCAATTTGTTTAGTTGTTACTAACTGTTTGGCCATGCCAACGCCCAAGATTACACAAGTAACTCAAAGTGTTAGATTTAGGAACAGAAGTTAGAACTGGGCTCAGAAAGCCCTTTTTCCTAGATCCAGATGATTGATGTGACCTATATATCTGTGTTTTCCACAGACATGAAATGTGAACATTTTTCTGTGACAAATGTGTTCAATTTAGCTATGATTGTTGTGATATTTCTGTTACTGTGGCCAAGGGCACTCACACTTCATGCTAGATAGGGAACAAACCTGTTTCAACAAGTTCTCCGAAAATAATCAGAATCACGTCATCAATTAAAGGTGTCACAAATTCCCTCTTTTCCAAAATGTGAACCTAGCAAGCACACAGAGGTATAAAACCTGTTTTTTTTTTTTCAGTGGTAGCTTGGAAACAAATTTAAGGATTTGAGTAATCTTTTTTTTATGGGCAAAGTACTCAAAATGGTTCAAAACAAGTCTTAATAAATAGGTATTTTCATGAGGATCTGCTTTGATTACCTGCCAGCTTGTTACATGGTAAAGCAGTAACTATTGTGTATATGAATATTGTATTTATTCGTATTGTTTTTCGTTTTGTGTTAATTCCACAGGGATTATAATTAATGGCCGAGTAATTTATCAGTGCTCTCTACTGGACTATTTTGTAAAGAAATATGTCTCCTCTTTGAAGAAGTTCTGAACCAGCCAACCAGCCCATCTCACACCTAAAAAAATCAGCTTCTGTATATTTATTTCTACCCGAACAATCAAAGATTTGGATTATTTTGTGCGAATCAATCAGTTAGTAATGATCTGTTTAAGATTATTAGAATTAATTTAATAATTTCAAGTCTTAATAACGGACAGGTAGCAATAGTCAAATATTTGACAGACCTTTTACATGATATCCTCACTTTCCTCCAGATCTCATTCAAAATTGATTTAACAAACAAGCTTTGAAGAAAATTGTTTAAATTGTCATTCATTTAAGCAAGAACATAATTTTCAATTAAAGTAATAAAAAAATCAATGCTGTTTTCAGTTTTCAAAGTCATGCTGAAGCATGAATCTGTATGTAAAGTCATCACATTTCCAGTCTCTGTTTGCGTCTTGTTCAGAAAGAGTGCAAGACTTGCAAAAATCAATTCACTTCCAGTGGAAGGGCTTTAAGCTCGGAGGCATAATCCCACCTCTTAAAATAAATAAATAAATAAAACGGAATCTAGCCCACGTGGATGGGAGCCTGTAATCTAGCAGTGCCCTCCTTCTGTGCGCTCTCTAAGCTCTTCTGCTCTCTATCTGTCCCTGCAGTCCACCACTTACTGCTAGTTTACATCTGTAAACAGCTGGATAGCAATGTGGGCGGCTGGAATTTAACAGCACATATGGACTATGTGATTACAACAGTGCAGGGTTAGGAGCGGCCTCATTAAAAACCAGAACCGAATCTGATCATAAAATATTCCCTGAAAGATAGCATTGCTCTGCCTCTTTGTTTTTCGACTTTTACTCTTGATGCCAATGAAGTGAATGTGCTTCAAAGTAATTGCCTCCCAAATGGGTTTAGGTTGAAGTAAGTGCACTTTTCTTTTCATACAATGAACAATAAATTAGTACTTTAAGTGCCTCCATAATAATTTGGGATTTTTTCCCCCAAACAGCTTTGCATGCATTGGGTTTAACCTTTAGTGTACATTCTTCTTTATAGCATTAATTTGTCATGGTTAGATCCAAATTTGAAAGCCATATCACATGTCACGATTTCCCCCTGTCCCCCCTTTTTTTTTTTGGAGCACAGTCATTGTCAGCTGTAATGGCGGGCCATGTATGAAATGTGTCACAGCAACAGGCACCATTAAGCAGCAGATCTACAGTAACGGAGAGTTAGGGGCCCGGCTCTGCTCTGTAGTAGCACATAAACATGAAGATTAATCCTTAAGCCCTTCAACTTCGGTTCACTGCCATCATTCAGTCCTTATCAAGCTGCACACAGTGCATGTAGCCAAGAGAGGAGATAAGAGGCTGCACGGCTCAGTGCTTCACAATATACCGTAACGGCAAGTGGGCTTGCAATCAGCTGATCTCCTAAGTGCAATAGCTGAATGGAATATATACGGCTGCGTGCACTCCTACACGCAGGCCAAAAATTACACATGTGCACATCGTGAGATTTTGCATGCAAACCCAGAGCTACCGGCATTTGGGAACATATGGTGAAGCCTAAACATAATCCATGATTATTATAAGCAAATACATATTAGCTGAATAAAAAGAAAAGGTCCGGAGTAATACTACATGTTGGTATGTGCAATGTTGCTTTGTTATGGTTGTTCTGTCTTGGCTGTGTAGGTCTTATTTCAGCAGCAACCTTAAACATCTCTTCCTGTTATGTGCAGAGAACAGACTTCTACAGAGCTCTTTCTGATGAACACAGACTGTAAGTTGTTCCTTATAGTGGTTGTTTCAGCTGAACACGGGCCAATCCTTTCAGTTCAGTTCTAAGATCCTTGGGGGAAGCCCATCTCAAAAAAGTGAAGGCTGTTATTTCTTTATAAAATAAAAAAATAAATAAGCATTGTCAGCATTTACATGTGAATGTAATATTAAAGTTTCCCTTTAAGTTTTATATGATTATAAATATTTCCCCCCTATATAGTCTCAACAAAAACAAATATTTTGGAGTCCACTATATGCTGACCCACAGGCATACCTGTGTCCACACACATACCTGCTAGATGAAGAAATTCAAAAATATGATTGTGTTGCCAAATCAAATATGGAAGATTTGCTCAAAATTCAGTTAATTTGTATCTATCCTTATGTAGGAGGGCTTTACTTTGAAGCAAGGAAAGACAGTCTCCATGAAACAGAAAAACAACTGCACAACAGATTGACGACAGAAGGGGTGACTTACTTTTTTAACCTTAAAAGTTTTGGTGACCCGTTTAAGGCATGCCAAAAAAGGCAGCCTATTCTATTCTATTCAGATCGAACTCCTCATGAGGGCCATCCTTCTGCTCACACTTATCTGAGAAGGGTTAGGGTTAAACTCCCGACCATTCCTCCCAAAAACGTTATTTCTGTGTAAAGACAACACTGAGTGTACCGTACTGAATTGATTTATTGGCTGATCTTTACTCTCACCTTGCACTAATTGCAGAGCTGTAAATAGAGGGCTCGCAGGTGATGAGAAGAGGGATGGAGGAGGCAGGATCCTCCTGTAACCACTCCCAGCCTCCCTCTCTCCGCTTTCGCTCTTCCTGTGATGCTGCGGCTCCTGTAGCCTCCTCAGTCTCCAGTAAACAGCAGTCATGGCGACAGTGGTCCAACCGCTCACACTGGATCGAGGTAAGTGTCTCGGAGCTTGGCGATTTCTGATTTATGTCAGCGAGATTTGCATTTATTTTCTTTTTTTCTTTTATCCACCCACTCAAAACTTCAGCGAGAACCCAACCCGGGTTGGAAGTGGGTCTATGAGCAAGGCTCGGATTTCTCTCTCGATGCCTGCACGGATCGTTGTTTCTTAAAATGAGCTCATGTTATGATCGGATCGGTTGTGTGTTTGTGTAGGCTATTGCGCAGGATGGAGCGCGTGTTTGCTCCGTCTCTGCGGGCTCAGATATGAGAGAAAAATCACGCTCACGCCGCTCGCGATGTACTTCGTTTACCTCCCTCCGTATTATGTAACCTCCCCCAGTAATATGTTGTTTGGTGAGATCGCTTTTGATCCTCATTCGTAAAAATGGAAATGGCAGAGCAGCCAAAGCCCGAATGCCCACTTCGTAGGACTGGCCACAAACTTTGGATTGGAATTCGGCCGGTGCATTACAGGCAGGTCAGCGCCCCGATAGACAATAAGACGAGGGTGTCATCCTTTTGGACCAGTTGGTTGCAAAAGCAAGCAAACTGCAATTAAGAGCTCATTGTGTCTGGCCAAACCCGTTTTTACGTTGCATTTCAGGTTGTGTTTACTAAAGAGCCGGAGAGGAATGTAGGGAAACACATATTTGTGTTGCTTCACCTCATTCAGAGTGAAATCTGTTCTGCCATGACAGATAAGAAAATACTGAATGGATTTATGCATGCAGCCCTTATTTATAGGGGAGGAGGGGGGGAAGAGGGGGGGAGGGATTTTAGAAGTACAAGTTAAACATTTTAAAAACAGTTGAAAAGCAAAGACTCACTTTAACTCCCCATGAATTCCCAGTCGGATCAGACACACAGCCACTAATGACATGCAATGCTGCACACGCTCAGTGTAAAAAGTGGTTGTTGTCAAACGGGGAAGCTTAAGCTGTGCCAAGTAAAGCTCTAGCATCAGCTCCCTATTCGTTTTTATGCCACACATGAGGACGCTGCACTTTATCCGGTGGGGGTTACATCTTGGGCAGAAAACATCTGATTGATGTCGCCAGTGAACGGTGACTGAACTGATAAGCCACGTGAAAAGTCTTGCAAAGAACTGTCCATATGCTGTATTGCAAGTTGTTCTTTACTTGACTTTAATGCTCGCGGGCAGCGGGGATTCGCTGATGCACAATCTGCTGGGTGCAGGAGTGAGCACTATTGCACACTGAGTTAACTTAATGAGCCTAAGATTGCACCATTTAAACAGGAAAACAATACAAGCCAAGCACTTTCCACCCATTTCTCACTCGCTGAACATGAAAAACTGGGGTTTTATCACTGAAGGAAAGAAGAAAGTCTTCTAACTTTCAGCATTGGCCCGCAGCCTCATTTGACCGTAGTTATTTGCAGGGGCAGTGATTCACTTGTGACCTCAGATTGTTTGCAAGAGGTGGGGCTGATCCCAATGTACATGTGCCATGAATTACACAAAGCCTGACAGCTGTAACACCACGAGCAATGATGGTAATGATAGTGTAACGCAGGAGCCATCAGAACGAGGGTATATTATAGGCTTCCTTTCTTCAACATCTGTCATTTTTAAGGCAAAAAAACACTATAATTGTTAATCAAAAGGTTTGTGTTGGGTGTAGGCTTCAGCAGCTGAGTTGCTAGGCTTGGCAAACACACACTCGGGGCGGAAAAGGAACAGAGATTGTCTTTTCCAGAGCTCCTACTTCACTTGCTGGGTCACAGCAAGGTAGAAAGATCATACATTCATTGGCTTTCCTGTTTTTGTCAGAGGAAATGACTGTGATATTGTAGTGTGGGGAACAATGGATGTGAACCTCTCTGCATGTTATCTAAAAGTCTGCCATCCTATATTCTGGTATTTACCTATGCACAGATGAACGTCAACAGATGGGCTCTGCATACTTGCAGTTAAATATTCACATGTAGCTGTGAGTCATGTCACAGTTGTGACAAAATCGCTTGATAACGATTGTTTGTGTCCCCCACAATAATTTCATGCCTGAAAAATAACAGATTAAATTTGCATCCGTAATTAACTATATCTTAATAGCTTCAGTTGTTTGTCTGAAGAGGCGTAGCTGCTTGCACTTGTATCAAATCCAATATGTTTGTTCAAATTCTCACTCTTATGGCCCTCATCTTGAGGTGTGCTGGAGAAAGAATCTGTCTTAAGCAGATTCCATGTTATAAAACAACTTATTGGTCATATGTGCATGTATGATGGAATTATATAAAAAAGTTGAGTTAATTAAGTTCTTCTTTAACCTGTCAAATTGAAAGACACATGGATAGCAAACTGAATATGCCTTGCTCTAAGAAATATGCCGATTAAAGCTCACAACCCGTTTGTGCACAGTTTATTTATTTGAATGCCGGAAGCTTTTATTTGAGAGTGACTTTGATCTCAAGTACATCTGTATAGTTAGTGCCTTCATCTGCGAGCCAGAATGAACCTCAGAAACCCCAAAATAACATTCAAGAGGTGAAAATGGCTAGAGCCCAGCCTGAAATTAATTCATTAAAGGTGTGAAGCCATTTGATCTTCAACACAACAAAGGTTTTTGGATGAAAAGAGCAACTGCTCCCTGATGCTGAACCGCGTCTTTCTGAGTCGGAGAGATGGAGACCATATTCCCATACATGACACGCTCTAATTCATACGAGATATTTCACAGATTAAAGAGGTGCTGATGAGCTTACGTCAGTTGTGGCTATTTTAGTTCCTGTTAATGCAGAAATGAAGGTGCTCAGAGTGATTGTTTAGGTGGGACACAGCCCAGTCGTTATCTGAGGATGAACAGGACAGTGCGTGCAATGTTTCCTGCCACTACTCTCACCTAAGGCTCCAGTAAGAGTCATTAGTCCTTCAAGAGTGCTGTATTTGTTGTGCTGCGAGGGAATAATCGCAGTTGGGGAAATTAGAGCTAATTCACTGCGCATGGGAGCAAGTCATGATTGGCAAAACCCTGTTGGCCCATTTTATTAATTAAAAATGTCATCATTTCGCTTTCTATGTTCGGATTTATCGTCGGACTTGCCAAAGCCATCAAGGACAGGAAGGTCAGCGCGGCGGTGGCAGATGGTAACCCTCATTCAGGCCAATTTATTCCGGCATGCTTGACATCCAGAGAGCTTCTCCCAGGGTGTAAAGGTGGGAGTGGAGTTAGAGTAAGGTCATGAATGCCTTCATTGAGGTGAAAAATAACCTTTCAGTCAATTAGTCAGATCGAATGGGGTTCTCCAGGTTTCGTCTGTGTTGAGGAGCGCGGCCTGTCATGTGGATGTTTTTATTTACGTCCCAGCAGTTCTGTCAAAATGACACTTCCAGCACTCCAAATGGATTACACCAAGTTCGGCTGTCTGCTCTAAATGGAGTAATTATACCAGAAAACTGGAATGCTGCCCAGTGCTAGCACATCACCACAACAATGTTGTAAGAGCCTGTCGAGCAGTGAAGCCTTCATTATGTGTCAGTGTGGCTTTGTGCAGCTCGGTGCCTTCTCTCTAATCAGCAAATGATGAGGATGACCTTTTTTATGCACAGTCTGATGTTAGAAGCACCAAGGGAAAGCATTCCAGTAACAGGAAATGGTAATCATTTCGCAGCACACTCGTTATTTCAGATTGTATTAGAGTGTTCACCTGAAATCCACAAAGCGGAGGTGTAAATAATTATGACTGATGATAAACTGTGTTGTTCGGTGTGTGTTATTTTATAAGAAATCAGGACCGATTTGATTCTGGACTTGAGAGAACATGTATGCAGGGGAAAATGATTAGTATTCTTCAGCCGGTGCTTCAATCAGATTGATGTTGTGGAGGGGTGGGTTGCATTTTTTACAGAAAATCAAGTACAGTATATATTTTACATTCGTATGTCACAGTTATTAAGGCCATTGTTGCCCGGCGACTGACTTTTGAAAGTGATTAATGCCTCAATATCACGTTAAGAGGAAAAGGCACATTGCAAAAATCAGAAAATTCCAGCGTGCGTCATCACCTCTGAACCATCAGAAACGTTCAATTCAGAGTTCAAAGTTTCATCTGCCTTCCAGTCTTCTTTCGAGCACGGTAAGCATGACACTGCACGACCTATTTGTTCAGGATGTTTTGATGGGATGTGAAAAGGAGTATTGCATGAAATACAGTGAAAAATGAACAACCTCTATCCTTGTGTTTAGTCTGTTTGAAATTCTGGAACTCTTTTGAACCGGCGCCACCAAAGCCAAAGAAAGACCAAAATCCGAGACTTGAACCCTGCAATTAAAGTTGGCTCGCGGTGGTTCTGTAATGACCCATTAACATTGTCATTCCATCGTCGTACAATGGTTCAGCCTCAGAGAAAGCATCATATATCACATTGCATAATTACAAATAATAAACTTTGCATCAAACTTGGCTCATTAAATCAGGAAGTATCAATAATGAGAATGTCCTCATCCTAAAGACAGCAGGGGGAAATAAACTGCCGCCAGGATGCGGGCTCTTGTCAGCAGCCTGATAATAGAACAGCAGTGCATTACAGAGTGTCTGTATCTCGCAGAAGGCACTAAGCTTTTTTTGACTGGTGTCACAACACAGTGAAGATTAGATACCCTGGTGTGTCTGCACTTTTTCTCTGTCAGTGTTCTTAAACATTTAAATAAAAAAATAAAAACGGAATAGAGCACAGCGACATTCATTTAGTGGAGGACAATCTGTCAAACTCCACAGTGAGAATGACTCAATTCTATCTATGCAGTTTGCCTAAGAGATATGTTAAACATGCAGTTGTCCATGATGCATACCTCTACAGATGTGTCCCTCATCTGGACCTATTGAATTAAGTTTGAGAATAGCGATTCGTTTTCTCTACATTGTTAGCAAATGATGAGTTGAGGATTCCTGTTACATTGGTCTTATTGTGGTCAAATTAGAAAAACAAGATCCAGTTGTATAACTGAGAGGCAAAGATGGTTCATTGTGTT